AAGATGGCGCAGAGATGTTCATGGAAACGAACAGTGAAATAAAAAATATTTAAGAAAAAGTATGATACAATTTTTAATACCAATAAATATTTTTTCTTTCGATCAAATACAGATAAGTTATATAATGTAAAATTCAATGAATAAAAATATATACCGAAAAATAGCAAAGTAATCACTTTATCTACTTAACAAAGGCTTATTATAATTGTATTAAAAATTAATCCAAAAAAGAACCTTTAATGTAAGAGTTTAACAAACAAAGTACAACAAGCTTAACTTTATTAATCTGCACCTAATGAACAGAGTTTTAAATACGAGATAATGACATTTATAATGGCTTTATAATCAAAGTAAATAGCTTAATGCGATTGTCACTGGCCTTTAAAATATCATTGTATTTTAATAAATCAATTCCTTCATTTATTCCCAAAATAAATTCAATGGCATAAAAATGCCAGAATGTTGAGTTCCCCTAACCATCGTTTACTTTTTTTAGAAAAGGATAGGAAGGAGAATAGGACTAGAATTTAGAATCAGGACCACAAACTTTTTAGAAGCATGGAAATGCTTCCACTTGGCGCCTGTATTCTATGACGTGGCACCTGATCATTTGTGCAATAGCTAATGCTATCACGGACATTGACACTTTTATCATATTACCGTAGTATTTGTGGACCGCGACTTCGTCCGTACGGAATAAAAAAAACCTTAATAAGCAGCCTATGTATTCTTCCAGATTATGTTCTACATGTGTGGCAAATTTCATCATAATCTGTTGAGCTGTTCCGGAGATACCTTGAAACATCCATCCATCTAAACTTTCGCATTTATAATATTAGTAAGATTTAATTAGGCATTGATATTTTCACAAACGCAAACAAATCGAGTGCATTTGATTTGCTTCTTTCACAAGCTATTTACATATAGTAAACATATCTACAGCGAAGCTTCTGTTCGTTTTATTCTGTAATTAACAACGAAGTTTGTTGAGTTGTGCTCCGACAAAATGAATATCATTGTTGTTCCATACCGAAGTTAAATTAACTTGCTCGCTGCGTCGCCATCTTTACTTTTATAAGACAAAAACAAATTATGTTTACTTATTATGTTTATCTTGCAAAGAGTATGCTATGAATTTTAACTACATATTACTTATGATAATTGTAGGGTGATAAAAAGTGTTGTATTTAATTTTTTATGACATTCTTTTAATTGAAGATTTTTTTATTTACGGTTGTATTACGATGGAAGTATGTTAGAAGATATCTCCAAAATGGCTGCACGGATCACGTTGAGAGGCATGTATGTAAAACATAGTCTGAAAGAGCACATAAGCTATTAATTAGTTTTCATTTTTAGACGGAGTTGCGGGTAACAACTAGTTTATTATAGTTCTGAGGCTACTCCAATCACAGTCAATGCCTTTAATCCTAGTTCTAGGAAAAAACAAAACGCGATGCTAAGAAAAACAAGACGTGTTGTGCCAAACAAATGACAATCAACATCCTCATAATGTTTAGGACAGTTTGATGCTTTTTTGTTTGAAAACAAACCTAATATTTACTAGAACTGAATAGTAAACAAACTAAGTTGACTTTTAATGTTAACTTACTTGTAAGTTATTCACTTAGTCCGAGTGAAAGTAGTCGTAAAACTTTGGAATAGAAGACTGCTTTTAAGATAACAGACGAACCGAATAAAAAGAAAACTTTACGCTTAGACGTAAGTAAGATTAATTTTGTACTTACATCTTTACTTTTCTCACGTTGGGAATTTATATATTTAAAAAAACACATCATTTTGTATTTAATTTTTGTTGTTTATGATCTTACAAGCTTTTACAAATTACTTTCAGAACGAATAATACAATTGAAAACATAATAAATGAAAAAATAATCCTTGGACAAGTTCCTTTTAATTATATTTATTTCTAATGAAATTTTAATTACATTTTAGGTACATTTGAAACCGAATTAACACTAAAAGATCCATACTGAATTATTAAATAAAAATATAACTTTATAATTACCGTAGGCTTGGTAGTATTACTACATTTTTTCAAGCTGATATGATTATCGTGATTTAAAACGCCTTGGAGTAAAGTCCGGTAATTCTCTAGAGAAATCAGCGCGCGATCGCTTCTGATATCGTTTAAATTCCCTAAGTAATGAAGAATTCATAAAGGTCGAAGCATTATGAAATATTCTTCGTATGAGCTGTCAAATAAATGTACTAGAGCTTTGTGGATCCCCTAAATGGATTAAAATAATAAGATATGTATTATATTTGAAAAAGTACATCACAGAACTACACTATGGAATGAGATAGTCAACAAACCAACTATTTATAGCGACAGGTGAATGAACGTCTCATCACGTTGTCTTAAAATGTGAAACTCGGCAAAAGTTTAGTATTTCCTTGTACTTTTTAATGTTGAACATTAACCATTATATATTTTGTACTTTACTTAATAACACGGGTGGAAACGCGGAGATAAGCTCCAACTGCGGCAATAAGCCAATGTTAACCTTAATAGTTGTAAGCTCATTTAAATTTCGCTTACTTAACGATATGCTTTGTTTAAAGCTTCCTTCCCTTTTACGTCATTTAAACATCGCCAAACATAAAAAGAGCCAATAGCCTAAAGGTTAAGCGTACGGATTTCCGATCACGAGGTCGGGGGTTCGAATCCTGCCATTCGACTATTGTCGTAAACTATATCCTAGCACAAGCATAGAGCTTAGTTGGAATGGTAAAAGAAAAATTAGTAAATTTACAAAAAAAAATCTACTAAACCATCGTCAACTAAAAATACTAAATAATATTGTGATACTTATGTCGAATCGTATAAAAATGTTTTAATAGCTTTTAGTTAACTATTAAATTAGTTTTAAAGGCGACACGGTACGAAATCCTACAACCCTTATTTTTTTTTGTATTCTATTTAAATGTAACAAAATATATTTTACGAGAGACGAATTCGCTCACAAATTTTTCAATGCTAACAAAACTATGCTAACTATGTCCATAAAAGTGAATGCTCGCCCCAAGGGAGTACCTTTTATTTTGGGTCAAACGAAAAAGGTACTTTTTTTGGCACGTTCGAGTTATTGAATCAGATGCACTATGAATATCAAATACTTATGTTACTATTAAAGTTTTTTTTATATTATAAGCTAACAAATGGCCACCTGCATTCACTAAAATAGCAAAACCATTGCTCATAAGCTTTCAAAATTGCAGATACCTTACCAATCTTTAATCGGCTATTGGTTAGAAAATTCGCAAGTTTTTATATTTATGAATACATAACTTTAGATTAATTATTTGTGACTACTATTATACTATACTACTACTATAGTTCTCATTATACTGATTTCTTTTGAATAAGTTGAAACATGCCAGTCTTATATTGGTGTTCTGTTAGATCAGGAATTTTTAATCAAAAATATGCGCGAATTTTTAGAACCATGATACAAACTTTATGCATTGGATCGAATAAACTGTTTCCAATTTCGTTGTCTATTCTTTTGACCGCCATATTGTCTAACTAGGTCAAAGGTCGCTCGTTTGAGGGAACTGAGCATGTCGTTTTTTTATAATTTAAATGTGAGACTTTAATTTAGTTTCAAATAACACTACTATGACGTTTGTATAATTCAAGGTATTTTTAATAATAGTCCGATTAGAGAACAATGTAATTCACAATCGTTCGGTGACATACAATAATATTTTAAGCCGAATAATAAACGTAATTACGTAACTTCGTAAAAAATCATCAAGGAAACTGGAAAAACTCAATACAAAGCGTAACTGGTTAAAAATAAAATAAGATCTAAAAGCCTCCACGTGCCTACTAATTTAGCAGAAACGTGACTACGGTACGCCGCAGGGTGGGAAATAATACACGTGACTTTGCCATTTTAAATTCCGATTTAGGAATAACGAAGAAAGGATTGTTGTCATTGTAATACCAAAATCGATTATATTTACATCGTATCTTACCTCTGACGTAATTCCACTTACCTAGATGTTTATTGTTATAAAAAAGAGGGTCTTGACAGACGGACGGACGGACAACAAAGTGATCCTATAAGGGTTCCGTTTTTTCCTATGAGGTATGGAACCCTAAAAAGTTTAAAACTGATTGACCAACAGTTAACGAGGACATTTAAATACCTTAAATAAAACGTATTTAAAATAATATGAAAAGTGTAACATTCAAACACTATCATACTAATGTTATAAATGCAAATGTTTGGGTGGATGGATGTGTGTTTGAAGGTATTTCCGGAACGGCTGAACTGAACGGTTTTTTTTTAATTCTGCGCGGACGAAGTTGCGGGCAACAGCTAGTTGTTTTATACAGTTGACAGAGCTTTATAAGAAAAATTCTGGTGTAGAGTGTTTTAATTCTACGACAACATTTTCTCCCATTGGACATTTATTGCATTTACATTTTAAAGCAAGTTTCTTGAGTACTAGTTCCTTAGCGATTCATTTAATTAACTTTCAAGTAGAACATCAATTAAAATGTTAATGACTTTAAGACGTTTTTCTTGATTACGAAAAATGGTACGTTTTAATTAATATTATACAGTTTACCATTTCCATTTAAACTTTCATTAAGTGTTAATCGACGCTTAATAATGTTTTTGATTGTCTAGAGTACTTGAAACTAGTCGGGTTTTTTGTTGTTTTCTAAATTATCTAGATAAAACGCCAAAGTCATAACTAAATTTTACTTTTACAAAAACTTTTTGTTTGATATAGTAATCTGTATATATATAAAAATCAATTGCTGTTCGTAAGTCTCGCTAAAACTCCAGAACTTGTTATCTTATCTTGGTCTTGAAATGTTCGTGGAAGTCTAGGGATAGGGAAGGTTTAAAAGGTGAGAAAAATTCGAATAGTTGCCGGGAACTAATTAAGTTTTTTTTCATTCCACGCGGACGGAGTCGCGTGTGACAGCTAGTAAGGAATAAAAATCTTTTTGGTTATAAATTATTGTATATTTCTTTACAAATTTATTAAATTACATATTTACTAAGATTTATACTTCCATAATAAAGTAAGTACCCCCATTGAGGGTTCATAAGTAACCTCGCTATGTTAAAGGTTATCTGGAAATAAAAACATCATTAAATCCCATATCCATAAATAATCTGAACTATTTTTTGATGATTTATCTTCACTCACACAACCGCACACACACACATACACACACGCGCACACATGAATGCTGTAATGAATGAACTTTTTTATTTTTACTTTTAACTTAAATATAAGCTTACTCAGTTTACTCTTAACAATACCAAAGTATCACATAATTGATGATCGGCGTTAGTAGCTATTCCGTGGTAAAAAATGTACTTGAAATCCATTCAATCATAGCGTGAATTAAAAAAATATGTGATCTAACCTTTTATTACATTGTATATCGCTACGCCAATTATAACGGCGACAATCAAAGGAATGCATAGAAACACCATCTTGAACATGTTACATAATACGAAACTGAAAAAATGCCATTGAATTGTAAGCTTCTTGAAGTTGTTCCTTATTAGTTCCTCCAAAAATAATAACATTAGACAATTGAACAAGAAAGTATGCGCAAAACGATATGCGTAAGAATGGAGTGGATTCAGATATGTCGACTGATAGAGATTTATGGCGGATTAGTACATACTGTGCCGACCCTCCGTAGGCACAAAGCCAGCATCATTGTGACGTACTTAACATCAAAACCGAATTTACAAAAAATTCAAATGCGTCCAAAATATTCCATATCAAGTATTAAAATCAACTTAACTTCTAAATCACGTAATAACTATTGTCTACCCTTACAGTATATACGAGGAAAATAATTACCACATTTCTAAAAAAATATGTAAAACCACTTTATACAAAATATTTCTTTGATCTTCATTGACAAGATACTTCAAGTACCCAATGTCAGTTAGAAAATACAGGTTAAAATAATTCTACAGACAAAATAAGGACACAAAGGAAAACTGTCTATACATGGACAGGCTATAAGTTACGGTATTTTGTGCCTATTTGATCATCACCATTTTGGCGCTAACGGTTGCGGTTGGTAGAGATGTTGAATATTCGAACTAATAATACAGATAGAATTAACTGTCAGGATTTGCAACAAGTGCGTTAAGTCGGAATGGCACAAAGAAAGTCATTTCCGAGGAATGGTCAATCCATTACTCATTCAGAAATCAGTAAGGTGAGCTTAAATCAACTACGACACCGCCAAATCGTTCGTTTTGCGCGAGAATAGTTAAATTAGGAGCTGTTTTGTGCGTTTTGGTAATTTGAAAGTAAAAATTGCAATATCTAGACTAGCAGTAACTTACTTTAATTTTATGCACTAATTCTATGAGTTCCTCGTTTGGATGTGAATTTGATTATTAGTATTCGATAAAATATAATGTTCTTTCAGTATTATCGATTTATTAACAAGTAACGGGACTCAAGGTTATGGTCTTACTATCATAGTAAACAAAATAAACTACAATCATGTTCCACGACAGCAAAAAACTTTAGTTCGTAGTATTAAAATATAATATTAATAGGTTTTTAATTAATAAAACAACATTGTCAATTGTAAAATTCTAAATAACTTTAAAAAAATATATATAGGGTCTGTAATTACTTCATTTTCTTTTGTCCTCGTCCTTGACACGTCTTGTGTTCTGTAATTAAGTACATAAATAAGGAAAAATGGACACGATTTTTATTCCAGTTGTAACAGCTATGAATTTTTCGAAAGAAAATTTTGAAGAATTATTTATTATTAATTATGGACGTCATTTAGATATAGACGTCAGTGGCTCAGGAGTCAAGCACTTGACTTGCAATCTGCAGGACCTGAGTTCGAATCCGCCATGTAGTACCAATGTGTTTTTCGATTTCCGATTTACATATGTACATTTATCCGACGTTCTTACGGTGAAGGAAAACATCGTGATGCAACCTGCACATATCTGAGAAGTAATTTAAAGATATGTGTGAAGTCAATCAACCCGCAATTGGCCAGCGTGGTTGACTATGGGCTAGTCACCCGTAACTTAGGGTAGGCTCCGAGCCCCTCGGTGGGGACGTGTAGTGAGCTGATGATGAATTATGAAGATAATAGCAGTCATGTTAAGTGTCCAGACTTTAACTTAGATATTTCTTTTAATTTTTTTTATTTACGATACTTAATGCTTTTTACATAATATTTTACACAATAATTTGTTAAATCTATTATTTTAATACTATTTGGATACTTACAGAATACTTCGAAAGCAAGAAGAAACCAAAAGATGATTATTCCGATTGCAAAAACCACAACTGTCGTTAGTAACTGTACAGTATCTCTTATTGTACTAAAAATTATTCTTAAACATCTTCTGGTCCTATATAAATCACAAATTTTATTTTTAACAATTTTATTACATTCAGTTTAAGTTTCTTTATTCTGAATATATTAACAAGTCTACTTCAATAGAGACAAGCAAACTGCAAATTGCTAACCTAAAATAAAGCCAGGTTTACACGGCGATAAAAAAAAATAATTAGAAATGTAATTAAATTCTACAGCATACCACATTACTCTTGGATACGTTATTATTTTATTGTTTGTTAATGTACGTTATATTATTTATGTTTGTTAAAAGCAGCTGATCAGTTGTCACTATTGACAAGCATTTGACAATCCAGTGTCAGCTGGTCGATTGCCAATGCAGGACAACCGTCTATTAAGTAGATAATTAAATTTCATACAAAATTAATTTTTATAATTTATACATGTCATTTGTCAAACTAATCTATATATAAAAAAATCGTGTTAGTTACACCATTTTTAACTCAAGAACGGCTTAACTGATACGATTGAAAATTGGTGAGGAGGTAGCTTAGAGCCATGAGACGGACATAGGATACTATTTACTCATTTTTTTTCGAATAAATGCCTTGAACAGCTGCTTTTTATTTAACTTATCTATATATTAAGTTTTTTTTTATATATCCACGCGGACGGAGTCGTGGGCGACAGACAGTTTTAAATAGATACACTATAGTTGGAGAAAATTAATTGACAGCATTTATAGGAATTCCTATACAAATAATCTCTAATTTTGTACTTCATTTGCAAAGACATGATAACTTCATCCTTTATTTATCATCACTGCGTCACTCTCGGCGTTTTTGCTTGTTTGATAATGATAAATCTTTCGTAAGAATTCCTGATCATGCAATTATAATATTTATCCTCATCTAGGTCAATAAGAATCTTGTTTGACGCTGTATAATTTGAGTACTCAAATCGAATTTAAATCTATTGTTATAATGTTGTTATGCACCTTTGGCTAAATTATATTTAACCAACTTCAAAAAGGAGGAGGTCCTCAATACGTCTGTATGTTATTATTTCTTTTTTTCTTTATAATTGTGCCGTAATTTTAATAAATTAATAAATATATAAGAATCAATTATTACTGTCTACAGCAGCCACATAAAAATCGTAAAAAATTTACATAAAGTTGTAAAACAAAGCGGGCTTAAGTTTAAAATTCTTGCTTTGTGTAACGTTTGTCTTAAGGGCGTAAGTACTTTATAAGGAGCTGTTTAATATTACAGTGGAACGCTTTGAAGTGCTGTTATCGTTATGTTAATCAAAATTCGTATTAGCCAAGGGTTTGTTTGACGTGGGCGGCTGGGATGCTGGGCGGCAAGGCGGTTGGGCGGCTGGGCGGCTGCGGCCGAATTTGGAACATAACAAGAAGGTTACGTATAATTAAGCTACACAATTATTTATGTAAGCAAATGAAATATTAAATAATGTTTATTTAAAATTAATTACTACAAGTATACGTTAATGACGTATGTTAAATTTTATTCAGAAATCAAGTTTGTAGTTTGTAGGTAAATTAAAGCACAATAAAATCTTTTTAGTTTTTAATATGTCATTTATTTAATTTTCGTCTTGCATTTGTTTGTCAGAAATTGACTTTAGAAATTGTCGGAAGTCATTTGGATAACTTGAAAGTTTTTATCATGGTGATTTTATAATTATTTTATTTGAAATCATCCAAATCCATTAATAATCATGGGTTGTGGCTGCTCAGCCGAAGGGCAAACCATCGCCAGTTATATTTTTATGTTTGAAAGGTTAGTAATTAATACAAATTACTTCATCACATTCTTTGAAATTTTATAGCTTTTTTTCCTTAGTGCATTGGTTTTAAACACTTGGAAAAAATTTATATAATACAAATCTCTACGTTTTGTCTAGAAATACATACATATCTTCATCCTTTTACGCTTCCAGCCATTTCATCTTTTCCAATCTAGTTCTTTACTAAGAGCTCTGGTTTTATATTATTAAGTGATAAAATATTAATAAAAGCTTATGGTTTCAGATTCGGTTCGTCAATAGCACTGACTCTGATTGTCTGCTGCATGATGCTGACAACTGTAGGCATGCTGTCTTTAGGCATTGGCCTGGGATACAATTATTGCTTTGTCGACTTCAAAGTGAAAAAGCTTTACGGTAATTACCTTTTCAAAGCATAGACATTAATGAAAATGAATGTTGCTATACGAGTAGAGGATGTAAAAAATGTATGGATGGATTTTGTAAAAGCAGAAATGTGTAATCGAGCGTGACGAGCTAATTCAAATCGAAGGCTGCTAGAGATGAATGGAACATTATTTTTTTCCAATCCCCCTTTACAGAAAACAGCGGAAAGACGATCATGAAGGATGTTGTGTTAAATATTCACGTTAACAGTTAAATTTTAATTCATCTATTTCAGAACATGATACTCCTAGAAGATCTCTAATAAGAAAAAGGAAATCAATTCCGGACGAACGAAATTACACCGCAGAATATGACGAAGAGAATTTCAATATTGAACCAACGATGATAATACCTTTGGATAGTAATATTAGTTTCTCAATGCTGATTTCGAAAATTAAAAAAATGAATAAAAACGTAACATTAGAATTGCTAGCAACGTAAAATTCTTTATCTTTTCCATATTTGCACTCAATTGCTATTTGTTATGGTAAACGTCTAAAATAAAATTTATATTATCAGATTAATGATGATATCAATAATTAAAATTAATATTGTAATTGATTGGAATTAAAAATACTTCGAATTTTTAAACGTGTTTATTTTTCCCTCACCTATAAAAGCAACATAATGTACGCCACGCCAAGTTATTAAATATTCTAACAAAATTCTAAGCTCTTTACGACTTTTATATGCGAGTATATTTTTCTTTTCAAATCGAATTTAAGAAGAATCATTAAGCTATTATTAAAAAATAGAGTAATAGGAAGAGATCATAAAATTTCTATCGCTTCTCTTCGTAAATAACTGGCCGAAATCTTATCGAATTTTCTCTACTATTTTCTTTTAATTCCTGTCATTAATGTCAAAGTCAAAGATTTGTATCACCGCAAGGATTTATATGAAAGTTATTGAAATATCAATAATTATGATATAATACTCGATGCATTTGGAGAAAGCATACAATATGGGGAACTATGCCATCTTAGAGAATGAATACGTTCCAGTGATAATGAAAAAGTAACTGACCTACATAATGTAACTGCATAGGAAACTTTACGAAGAAAATATCTTCATTCTATTTTTTCACTTTTCCTTAAATAGTTTTCCTCGCTCGTGTATACCCGGCATTAGCCAAATCCTTGTTGCTAGCCCCGGTTTGGTCTTGCTTCTATATGTAAAGTACAAATTAAATTTAATTAGTCTTACCTGCGAATACAAAGTTACATTTGATTAGAGATATTGTTCATTGGAAGTTAGAAATATCAATTTTATGTCTATACATTTTGTTGACTAATTGGGATATCGGTAATTGAATGACACTTTGTATACGGGGGCTTTGTTCTTCACAATCATGTATATCTTCAGTAAACCTCGCTGGATGTGCTGCGCGATGGTTGCCACAGGACTATTGATGTTGATGTTGTTCTCCATCGCTGTGGGAGTAATCATTGCTTACGTTCATTGCTACATAGAACATCGAAGTGGTATGTATGATTTTGCCCTTATTTAAAAAATATATGGATCAAACAAATTTGATCGTTTACGGGGAACTAATGCTAAAATGATCTATGTAAAAATTAACACACACTCAATAATTGGCATAAAACACACTTTAAATTTGTAAGACTAGGAAATAGCTTTCAAAATAAAGCTTGAACCGAACGAGATTGGTAACTCGCAATCTGTCGCGCCGGAAATCGAAGCTAGATTGAAGACAGGGCAATTTTAGTTCCAAATTTTGCTCACCTTAAAATATCTTAGCTACAATACAGGCTTCAGGATCTATTTTTCATTATGATAAAAGGTAACTGAATAAATTATGAAGTTCATACCTTTCATGTGATTACGAAGTAAACGAAATTAGGTAATTGTTCAAATGCAATTTTGGTCACCCTAAAAGGCTGTCAACGCATCTGCAGTTTTTCTTGTTTTGCGAGTAATGTGTCAGATTATTTTATATTATGAATAAAGCAACTCGTTTTGCTTCTTTGAAAATATCAAATATAATGAAACATGCTGTATAATGAGATGCTTAAAACACAATTGCTTGTTACAAGAGTATAAGACAAGCATATCAGTAAAGTAGTGTTTTCTGTTTTCCCAGGTAAACGTACACAAGAATTAAATTTGCAGATAACACGTACGGGGACCCAGCAAATGAATGGAACGCAGTCACCCATGGACGAGGCTTTGACATCAAGCCTATTCTTCGCGAAGATCATCGACCTAGGGCGGGCTATCATCGAAGACGGGCACAACTATATTTACTCCTACAAAACGAAAACATCAAACAAAACAGAAGACATTAAAATACTTCAGTAAAATACGACACAGAATTGTTTTTGGAGGTTATAAAATTCAAGATTTTGAAATTAGTTAATTTCTATAATGTTTTTTTAATGATAAAACTGCATTAAAATTATTTGATTTGCCTTAGTAGCGTTTTTACTCTTTTATGTAACATAATCTATGTATTTTTGAACACCAAAAAAAAATCAAAAAAAAATCGCTTTATTTGCGTTAAAATCTTTTATATAGATTAAATTGTGATAAGCAACAAATGTAAAAACAGGCAAATGATATGTATGGTAAAAGCAATCTTGAGGAAAACTATACTCCTTTTTAAGACGCTGCCTAACGAAGCACTTCCGTTGACGTATTAGGAAGAAATATCAGTACTTGTGAACTACATTTCTGTATATTTCTCACATTATTCTTTACTCCACGTAGTTAGCTCTTGAACTATCCGAAATCTATGACCTTCGACCGTTTATGATCAATTTATATTGATTTAACAGGCACTTGCCTGTTTTAACAATGCGGGCTGTGGGTTCATTGAACTCGCTATTACATTTAAAAAATGGTTGTAAAGTCGGTTTACGTGTGATAATACATGATGACGTCATAAAAATCTTTTGATTTTAACATTTTTGTTACGTTACCGTGTAAAATTGTTTTTGACACTGTTACCAAAGGAAAAAAAGGGACAGACAGACGGACAACAAAGTGATCTTACAAGTATTCCGTTTTTTTTCTTACGAGGTACAGAACCCTAAAAATCCATAGCAATAACAATCTCTTTTTGTTACGATGGACCGTGAATATTATACTTTAAGTTCATACAACAGATTTTTACGTTCGAATAACACAGAATGAATTTATTTCATGCAACAAAGTACACAAACGACAAAAGTGAGCATTAAAAGTTTTACATTTTAAATTATGTGGCAATTAACTCAAACGTGATTTTTATAATCATTTTAATGTTATACAGTGATAGGAAAACATATATTCCTTTTAAACACGTTCCACAGGTGTTATACGTAGAACTCTATAATGTTATGACTTACCATAATCAAGAACAAAGGACAATGAATGCGAAATGTAAACTGCATATTTCAAATCATCCTCACCACAAATAACTTATATTCGTTCTTTATTAAATACTAGCTGTCGCCCGTGACCGTCTGCGAAGAATTAAAAAACAGACATAGCCTGTGTATTCTTCCAGACTATGTTCTACATCCATGCCAAAATGCAACCATTTTCAAAATGCAACAAACGTCCATCCATCTATTCAACATTCGAATTTATAATATTTGTAAGATAGTAAGATTAGTTTATTTACGTAAGTTAATTTAATATTCAGATGGTTATTCTTGCTTTAGAAGTATAAATTACATTTATATTAAGTAATCATGTATTTTAAACATTGTTGACAAATATGCACCAAGTTTTTCTTCAATATCCTATCTGGTAAATGTAATTTTAAATAAATTGTATCGATAACCGTAGATTGTGAATACTTATTCACACCAAAGGTTTTACACAATGCAATGATAATTCTAAGTTGCGTCATCATTATATGAGAAGATTTGACATGGTATTCCCGCGGACCACATTCTAATGTCATACTTATTGTTCGATAAGATACAATTATCACATTCAAGGTCACGATGGAATTACGAAAATGGATTTATAGCCAACCTTAGTGAAGAAACACTTATTAAAGTACCAATGTACTTAGTAAAAAGTTTTGTTTTTTATGACAGTTGATTTTCTTGTAAAAGAAATTTGTTTTTCAGCTTTTTTCCTCCGTACCAAGACATTATCCTATCAATGATATAGACGCGAAACAAATATTATTTTTTTAAATGCACAGAAAAAAGTAATACATTCATTTGATCCATATCAGTTTAATAAATTCTTAGGTACCTACAAAATTGTACAAAACATAACTAAAACAAAGTATGGTTTAACAAAAGTAAGGTCACATCTTTATATATATAATACTTCTGTGCGTGTGTATGTCACTGAACTTCTCTCAAACGACTGGACCGATTTTGATGAAATTTTTTATGTGTGTTCAAGGGGATCTGGGAATGGTTTAGATTCACAATTTTCATCAAATATTAACTTCATATTAATTTATTCAAATTAAAGACGTGTAGACAGGACAACGTCTGTCGGGTCCGCTAGTTTAACTATAAATAACAAATTGGGCCAAGTCACTGAAACCCCTAAAGTAAAACAGGAGTGAGGAAAGTAAAAAAAAAACAAGCATCGTACGGCGAACGTTTCGTTTCGTCTCATCACTCGACGGTCCGACTCCGTCGGAACGTTGCGTGCGCGCATTCAATCGCCAACTCTCATTGCATTTACAAATAGTATTTCGATAATTATTCAATAAAACAATAAGTATAATAATAATTAAATTAATAACAAGTAAGTTTTTATTATTATTCACTTGTAATAAATAAGTTTATTGACGGACAATGAATTATAACCTTGAAATTAAATTGAAATGCAGCACATCGGGTTAAGGTTGTTTACAGTGAAAGTTTTAGGTTAGAGTTCGATGACATAATATCAAAGTGTTGTGGGTGTATTAAAAACATTGAGTGAATTTCCGGCAAATACAGTGAAAGGAAATAAAGCGCTGTAAGTATATTTTTAATACAATATCTTATTTTAACTCTCGGTTATTAGGAGCATAACCTGTTCTGCGCGAAATGATTAATTCTTTCGTATCGTAACGTGGCTTTTTGCAAATATAAGTAACTTCAAACCACTTCGCTTTAAACAGATTTTTTTAATCAGAATGCTTAAGTATGCCATCGATGCTCCTGGTAGCAATCAATATTTTCATAACTATGACTATGTTATTAATATATTGTTATTTAGTTAACGTTGATACATCATTTTGTATTTGTATTCAGCAATCAACAACTTATTTCCGATGGATAATTGAATCCGAGACTCTAAAAGTAAAAAGTCATTGCAACTCTTGGGCTATATGAACGTTAACGAAAAAATTTATTCTTCTTGGTGTTAATTTAGAATATAAAATTAATTAAAAATAACAATTTATTATATTTTCTGTAACATTTTAAAACACCAGGCGAAAATATTAATAAATATTTTATCTATAAATACAGATCGTAAAACTTAGTCGTGTTTTAAAATCTCAGGTCGTAAATCGAATAATTACCTACTAAATACCTGCATATATTACTATAGTCATCTTCAATGAATTATTGTTATTTTCTTCCAAAGCCTTTATTCTTCAGCAAAATGTATTCAAGTTTTTTTCTTAATGTAAAGTCCATCTCACGTTTAACTGTGAGTTTCCAGTGTCGTAATTTACTGCAATAACTTTACACGTTAAAGAAATATATTATATTATTTAAATATATATTATATAATATATTAACTATGCTTGTACAATATACTAACATCTTACTAATATTATAAATGCGAATGTTTAGATGGATGGATGAATGTTTGTTTGAAAGTATCTCTAGAACAGCTGCATGGAGCTCATTGAAATTTGGCATAGGTCTAGAACATAGCCTGAAAGAGAACATAGTCTACTAATTATTATTTTTTAATTCCGCGCGTACGAAGTCGCAGGCTACAGCTAATACTTATATATGATGGTAACTCTGACATTCCGAGAATTTGATCAACAATCGTATAACATCTCGTTTGCTTTCCGAGAACATAAATAAGGATAACATTATTAAAACCGGTTATTCCGTTACTATGATTCCAATAAGTAATTTATGAAAAAATATTACATTCACAATCACTGCATGATATTTTGTTATATATTTTCTTACTTACAAAATGTAAACCAACTGTTTTTGACATTTTATGTTTTTTTGTACCTGATAATAAAAAACTTTACTGTACCATAAAATGACCAAAGAACACATTTTTAATAAATAATATGTAACATATAACCGTAGCTATCAACTGTCGAAACATCAAGAGGCTATGACAAAAATATATACGGATGTTTCGGCAGTATATAAGCCTGTCCAAAGTAAAATTTAAAATTTTTAGATATGTATACGATTACTATATAATATAATATGAATGAATCACGCTGATATGACCCACTGGTAAACAAGAACCTTCTTTATTCAACTAAAGTAGATAACAGTTCGTATAACTGATTTACAGTTTACATGTTTCGGAATATTTCTTGCTCATATCTTCACATAGTGTATATTTATAACAAGTTTGTTACAGTATACATTTTCAGAAGATACCAAGGAGTTTAGAAGCTTGCTTCTTGTGTTTACAACATGCAGATAAAATAAAAATTTCACCAAAACTAACCTCAAAATTGATAGAAGGAACACATCGAATGTTAAAGACCATCAGATATTAATCGATACCGTGGGTTTCTGACACTAAAATCTCTGTAACATATCATCATCTCTGTCTTTCATCTTTGACAAAACAGAGGTAGCAATATGTTTTAAACAGATTTTGGACTCATTCACTTACGGTTAGTTAACAAATATTTTTTTTTTTATAAATACATACATTTTCTAATGTTATTAAAACTTCGTTAGCATTTTATTCTAGCACTCTGGTCATTATCGACATTAAAAAATTACAAATAAAATCTTTATATAACGCGCAATAACTTATTGAATAAATCATTACCATGCAAAAAATATAGTTACCTTGTACTTGATAAATTCAAGTTCACGTACAACCATTTATATTTTTTTTACCTTAATATGCTTCCGTAAAACAGATTATAAAACTGTGATTAAGACCACGCGGTATTAATAAAAAAACTTAATTAAGAGTCTAATTGTTTTGCCAGTCTATATTCGACATCTATGACAAATTTAATCGAGATCCATTCAGTCACTCTGGAGATACCTTCAAACAAACATCCATCCATCTACACATTCGCATCATATCTATTTATATATATAAAAGAAAGTCGTGTTAGTTACACTATTTAGAACTCAAGAACGGCTTTACCTATATGGTTGAAAATTGGTGAGGAGGTAGCTCAGAGCCAGGAGACGGACACTACTTATTCATTTTGTTATTTTTTTTTAATTTATGCCTTGAAGAGCCGCTTTTTATTTAACTTATTAATATTATAAATGCGAATGTTTAGATGGATGGATGGGTGTTTGTAGATATCACTAGAACGGCTGAACGAATCTCGATTTAATATGGCATACATATAGAACATAGTCTGAAAGAACACATAGGCTACACTAATTAAGTTTTTTTATATATCCACGCGGACGGAGTCGCGGGCGACAGCTAGTTTATAATATTAGTAAGATTTTTTTAAGAGTATGAGGGGCAATATTGTTATGACAATGGAGACCTACCTTAAGAATGTACATATCGTGTTTAGAAGCACAATACAATACAGAATGGGACTCAAAGCACCTCACAACACAAACACAATTACCTAGCACCGTATCAGATGGAAGAAATCAAATTACATGGAACAGTTTTCAATCAACGGCCAAATCAAATCAGATTAGATATTATATGAATGTAAAATAACCATAGACCATCAAACACTATAAACACATAATTAATCACATCTAGCTAGTAAACAACTACGACTTTCGTTGTTTTAAATTTGAAACATGTCTAGTACTTTCTTATCTCTTTTTTCTCGTATTTTATTGGACTATGAGTCCTCTAGCTTCTTACAAACTATCAATAATAATATCAAGTAGTTTTTAATATGTAATATAATACTTCCTTTTTTAAACTTTATTAGTTAAGACAAACTTACAAACTTAGAAAATGTAACGTAGTAAATAATTCCATAGTAGTATGCAATATTGAATAATCGATTTAAAAATACCGTTTAACTCTTTGATAATAAGAATGTAATGTCTATAGGAGGCCTTATAAGTAGAAATCGACAATCAGGACTTCATTGCAATAGTTCTATAGTTTGCACTAAAGAGGATATAACTTCTAAAGCTTATTTAAATTTATTGTTGTTGGTAATTACCAAATATGGATCAATTAAGGAAGCGGACGAATCCTTCGGTATGTGTTTTTATCTGACTGAAAATAGGATAAAGTTTTTTGTGGGTATGACTTTATTTTAGTACGTAAGATTTGTAAGGTTAAAGTACGAGGTAATTCTAAGCAGTGATTTAGATATTGTTAATCTGCTTTTTATTTTTAAAACTAATGGTTGTCCCAACTCTGTTTGCGCGTAATTAAAAAAAGTGAATAATAGCCTCTGTGTCCTTCAAGATGATATTCTACATCTATCCCAAATAACAGCGAGATCCGTGCAGTCGTTCTGGAGATACCTTCAAACAAACATCCATTCATCTGAACATTCACATTTATAATATTAGTAAGAAGTAAAATGAATTATAAATTGTTGGGTTATAAACTAGTTCGGGGCTAATGGTTTAGTTAACAGCGTTAGTCATTAATTAACGAGTTATCCCGTACATCGATGAGTGTAGATTGCAATTGTTTCAAACTTATATAGATCAGATTATCAACACTGGTGAAATACATTATATATCGTAATATTAGTAAATAACATGATAGTCTCGTTAGTACATAATAGAGGGTAATATTTTTAATTTATCTCTCTACTCAGAGTGGTTTAATTACTTGCTCTGCTAGCGCAGCGACCCAAATCGTAACTGGCGTCCTACACAAGAGATCAGAGTATTTTAATTGTTATTTAAGTTACTTAATTATTGTTAAATATTAAGGGAATGCAAAAATATATTTGGTACTGTAACATGGATTTACTAATGTATCTTTTTTACTCTAATTGAATGAATTAATTTCGTTTTGTTCCAGACTAAGGGACTTTCCAACATGACCATCCGGAGTATGACAGTAACCGAAGCTCGTGACAGCACGAAGAGATGCTGCAGAGGGTAAGAATATTATTATATTATTACTGACGCATATCGAATTTTTACTGTATGTATTTGTCTAATAAAAATTATTTTTTAGATAAGTACTTGTAATATAAAGCGTTTTCAAATAAACTACAAAGACTGATGGGCTCGGAGCCGGTCCTAAGTTAGGGGTAACCAAGCCATAGACAACTTGTTTAAATATTTTATACGACTTTTACTCAAAATTTTTTTTTGTTAAAAATTGAATTTTTCTTTTTAAACCTTTTTACTTAAGTACTATTCAGTTCTTGAAACCTTTCAAATTAGAAGTCAGTTGTTACTAATAATTTAGTACTCCAAAAAATATACTGAACTAAACTAATACAAATAATTTAGACAATTTTCTTTTATAAAAGAAAAGGCAAGCAGTGCAAATTTAAGCAATAAAAAGATTTCGTTATGATCCATATTCTCAAAGCGTATTTTCCCTTTTTATTATGACAAAGAACTTTCCGGTCGAAAAATAATTTTCGTATAAGTCTTTTGAAGTGATAATATACAATAGAAAAGAATAGTTTGAGAGAGCATTGTGTTTCTTAAATTGAGAAACATATCTCTCTCCGATTTGTTAAAGTAAATGACAGAGCGTGTAACAAACGAAAGGCCTTAAAACATTAACATAATATACAAATTTTTAGCGCCTGCTGAAATGTGATGTTGTTATATTGTGCGAATTTGCTATTTATATTTTAACAGCACCAACAAACAGTATTTAACTACACAATTGAAACGTTTATTTTTTATCAGTACATGTAAATCCCTTTTAAACTGTCAAGTTTCTTAGAAACTTAAGCTTTTTATACGTCAGCTTAAACATAATAAAAATAATAAAATATTCTCGTTTTGTTCCCTAACAGGAAATATTGTAGCTAATTTATAGATTCTGTAACACCCTACTGATATTTAAAATAAAATTTATTGAACAGATTTTTACAAATCAAATACTTAAGCAAATGCCTAGATCAATTTAGCTTAGAAAGAAATAGATAATGTCAGCAAACCTTATCATATTCACATTTTTATTTATTTATCCGTTTACATCCAATCTCTATACGATATATTCGCATGTATTTTAATCAGTCATAGAATTAAAAAATCTCTTAAGTATATCTGCAAGCCGATTTGAATAAGGACCAAATTTTATCGTATGGAAATCAACGAATTTATCCATAATCCTACGTGAGCCAGTGAAATGTATATCCGGATGATCTAAGTTCTAAATGTTGGTATCAACTTGTGCAATACATATTTTTATCTCTTTCCCTCTCCTGGATACCACTGAGATAATGATATGTTTTTGTAACAGTGTTTCGGCAATTAAAACTTAAGTAACTCGGGTTAAATAAAAAATATTAAAATGTTTGATATTTCTTAATTTATTTATTTTCTAAAGAAAATTTAAGATGATATAAAAGAATATTTAACATAAATATTTTTTATATCGAAATATTCTTGTTCATTTTTCATTAACCTTTTAAGAAATTTAAGAAAAAGTCTAAAAAAACACGTCAAGTTTTATCTCGATAGATATGAATTAATTCAAAAGTCTTTAATAAAAATCTTTTGAAATATAGTTGAAAAATAATTTTATTATTGTGAAGATTGTAAGCAAGAATGTTTTTACATTTTAATATTCAAAGTTGGTCTGAAAGTTAAATTTTCTTATAACTTGTAGGATTTCTAATAATCTTTTGATCTTTATACTATAAAGTTCACATTTTGTTGTTATACACGAAGATAAACGTCCTTCTTGGTTTATCTGTTTGGACATAAAAGGATCATAATAATTTCTGACCCTTATTTTATATAGACCATGAAACTATATTAAATCTATAAATAAGATGATGCAATGTTTTCTACATACTTTACCACAAATCGAGCAAAAAGTTACATTAATTGATGTGGTTAACACAGAAAATTAATAACTTTTTTAGTACTTAAGTTCAATTTTAAAATAAACTTAAGTTGTGATATGTACTTAATTTATCAATGTAATACAGCAAGGTTTTCTAGTTTTATACAAGTTACGAAGTTGAACTCTCTAATTAATAAATATATCTTACTAATATTATTTATGTTTGGATGGATGGATATCTCCAGAACGTCTGTATGGATCTTGCTGTAATTCGGAATAGATGTAAAACATGTTTTTTAAATACCGCGTAGACGGAGTCGCGGGTGACAGCTAGTTAAAAATAATCAGAGAAACGACTCTTATAAAATGTCTTATATTGTAACACCATTAACATTGTCCTTTGTCGTAAACCTTATCGAGAACGAAATCAAGGATTTTGCAAACATAAATCCATCAAACTCGCTTTCCGTTGTAAATTAGTTACACGACTCATCGAACGTAATAAATCTTAAAGAACAAATCTATAATAATCTTAAAATCAGTCAGAAAATGATTGCTAAGGGAAAATTATAAAAAATTATACTTCGAACAAAAAGAAATTTAAGTAATAAGTAAAAGTAAGTTATATTTATAGCTTATTATTTACTAGAAAACAGTATAGTGTGGTTAAAGCAGCATACTTCGTTGTTCGTTTGCTTCACAGGGAGTCGGACTCTGCAAAATTGAGTAATTTACCAATCAGTCCCTGTTGATGCATCATTCATACAACGTGTACGGTTTATCTGTGTGCTTTTTATGGTATATCTCAATTTTCCACCTTTTCTTCAAATATCTGCTTAATCTAAACGAAATATTATATTTTCTTTGAGTATAAATGTTTGTAATTCGTCGAATATATTACAAGTAAAATACTCAGCATAACGTAAAAATTACAAAAAATACTAGCAATAGTGTTCAATAATTCCAACAAAAAAGTCGAAGTGCTTTCGCTTCGAATCGATTCCATAACGAAATTCTAAAATGTTTAGAACTGACAATAACTTTCGATAAGTCACATGATTGTCGCGCGTCAGTTCAATACATTATTGAAATTCGTTATAGTATCGCACCGGAATGCACTTTCTCTAACCACCTTCTACGCAAGCAAACATTTATTTTTTGAAAAATCAATGCATAATGTTAAATATTATAAAGTACCAATTTCCCTTACACGTCCAAAAAGCTGTATCACCGGTTTCATTAAACCGAGCCATTCATTACATAAATAATTTACATAAACTTGTTTTATAATTTACCCGTGTCGTGTGTACGGACCCTTACTTGTGACGTATAGTGCGAGGTCGCGTTATTTGTCCGTAGTTTTTATGTTAGGTGCTTTATCACAACACTATGTGTTCAGTTACATATCAGATGTGTTTTAATATAAGTTAACGTGTATGATAGAACAAAAATTTAATGTGTGATAAATATTAGTGATGTGCGACACACAGTTATTAAGACAAAGTTCCTTGAAGAAACCGGGACAAGCAGGAAGTGTTAAGAGAAAAAATCTACATGTTCTCATTAAGCTTCCAGAATCCGCTCGTGATAGGTTTGTTATTTTTTTCTCTGTTTTTTTTTTAATAAACGTAAGTCAGATGTTAAGGCGAATAATAAATATTAACGTTAAACTTTTTTGACGAATTTTACCACTTTGCAGTTGTTTTCTCGCAGTTATAAAATACTTTACTGGTTACTACTTCAATGACTATACTTATAACTTTATTTAAAACAGATTTAGAATATAATTTGAAAAGATTATGTTTTACGTTTGTACCAGATTTAAAAAAGATGTATTTCGCCGTACAAGAGATATCTATTAACAAACATGCATCCATCTAAACTTTCGCATTTATAAATAAGATAAATAAATTTTGTCGTATTAACTGTTTACATAGTAGGTTTACATTGTCATAATTATACAAAAACGTACTTTTTCGCATAGTGAAAACCCATCGTAAGAGTTTGTGTAAATGTCACCTGCACATTTTATATCAATCAATCATAATGTGTGTCACAAAACACACGAACGTAATACTAATTAAAATATAATTATATAAAGATATAATATATAAGGTAACGAATAGGTATATAATAAAAACATGTTATATATTATAGTATTAGATTTAATTTAAAAAAAAAAGTTGTTTACTTGCTATGGAATATTTCAGAACGAATAATGCTCGATGGATAAAAAAAAAGAAGTTTAAACTTTGAACGTTTTTCATGTAATTGATGTAACGTGGATTTTCACTGACTTAACATATTTGCCAAAACATATCATTCTCTCTATTTTCGTACAGAAAGAGACAGAGATGGCATTATATTTTGTACAGGTGAAAGAAACTTACGATTATACTAATATTATAAATGCGATTGGATGGATGGATGTTTATTAAAAGCTATCTCCAGAACGGCTGCATGGATCCCGCAGATATTTGTCTTAGATGTAGAACATAGCTTGAAAGAACACATAGGCTTCTATTTTTTTAATCCACGCAGACGGAGTCGCGGGCGCAACAAGTCAACCCGCATTGGGCCAGCGTGATTGACTATGGCTTAGTCACTCTCAACTTAAGGTAGGCTCCGAGCCTCCTCAGGTTGGACTTATAGTGAGCTGAAGATTAATAACAACTTACCTTGATGAATGAACCCTGACTTGCCTTATCAATTCACTATGAAAGAGATGACGTAATTGTATGTTTGATCTGAGGAGAATGATGGATAGATAAAGTAGATAAAAATATAATAAGACTTGTGCATATACATTTTTTGTTAATTAATAAATTGTTACGTTGATATTACTGTATTATACTTTATTAGAAAATTTAGTTACAATTCATTATTCCGCAACGAATAAATTGCCATTTATTTCTTCATAATGTATACTTTTTGTCACATAAAATGTACTAGAATATTATTATGTATAGCATCATTTAAATGGCAGGTAATAAAACTAAGATTTATGCGTAAACCGATATGGGATATGTACATAGACCACCAAGGTCTGTATAAACTAGAGCGCCTAGTTCCAATAAATTGTTTATCAAATATTACGTTTTTCGCTAATTTACTAATATTTCTTGTAGCGACTAAGCTCTTTGCTTGTGCTAGGATTTGGTTTACGACAATTATCGAATTGCAGAATTCGAACCCTCGCCCACATGATAGGAAATCCGTACCCTTTACCATTAGCTACTGCCGCTTCATTGATAAAACAAATGATCGCATCAAGAGTAAAATCCCACAGAAAAATGAATACTTGCTTAAAGCTGCCAGTATTTCTTTTGAATTTAACAAGTTTACACCATCGTATTCATTTACACAAAACCATAATCGATTACACAAACCTATAGTCAATTACACAAAACCGTAGTCAATTGTTACACAAAACGGCAGGCATTTGTTACTATAACGAATTGGATATTTTTAATTATGGTTGGCTAAAAGCGGTTATTCACCTTGGTGTTCTGTGGTACCGTAATACTCCTTCCTGTTCATTCATAAAATTATCGTTAACTAAAATGTGGTACAAAGTGTTATAATTATGAACGAATCATCTTACTAATATTATAAATGCGAATGTTTAAATAGATGGATGGGTGATTGTTAAAAGGTATCTATCAGCAGAACGGCTCAAAGGATATCGTTTAAGTTTGAAGAAAAACACATAGTCTACAATTTTTTTTTTTAATTCCCTGAGGATGGAGTCATGTGTCACAGGTAGTTTAAAATAAACTATCTACTTAGAAGATAAGTAAATAAGTCTTGTACTTCTAAAATTATTTAGTTGTAATATATTTAATTTACTCCGACTATCTTTTTACCGATTGTCCGAGGGTAATGTGTTTCATGAGTACATAAGTATGTTTGTTTTAGGTATTCCGTTTTTATTATTGTCATTTGTTATATATGGTTGCTATGGTAACCATTTGTAGCCTAAACAATTGAACTGAGAATTTTTCCACGGGTCGTTATTGAGGTACAGTGCGACTATTAAATATACTATTTAATACAATGTGTATTGGTTGTTGAAAATCTTACACGTGGAAATTCCTCAGTTTTATAACATAATATTTGACTATGTTATTAGGAAACATTCAGATTTGTATAATACAACAGAATGATGCCAAAGCAAGTTGTTTATAAAACAAACACGCTAACATATAAGTAATCTTTTACTTACATGTTTGATAAAATAATTTAATAATACTTTGCAATACTCGACGCAATGACCTATTAAAAAAGAAAGATTTTTTTTCTTTTTCAAAGACTATTCTAATAATATTGATAGCTGCCAGTTTCACACCTACATTTTTCTAAAATAGTTAAAAGGTGGGTGCAACTTTTGTCAGGCATAATCGAATACCCGATTTATTCAAAACAATATAATTTTAAATACATGAAGTATTTAAATGGACTGATCGCACTACAAACAATAGTAATGTTCACTGATTGCGATCATTAGTCGGTTCAATTTAAAACAAATGCAATAAAAATGCATCCTTAAAAAGCTAAAATGGTGTAGAATTGCACTGCTCTTTCCGCACGATGTCCCAAAGCCTGGCTCATCAACGTCCCGCGTCAATCATAATAGTCATAAACATATTGTACACAATGTAAATATGATGTTGAATATGTTATCAGTATATCTCGCATCCTGTCCTTTCAAGAGCTCACAAAAGCGGCTGAGAGTTACATTAAAGGGTGTGAACACAACGAGCTATTATACTAATTAAAATTAGGAGTAACATTCATCAGCACAGAACACATTATTGTGGACGTAAAAGATAAAATCGTGAAAAGAACGAGTTCAAATCTCACTCGCCATAACCTGGTTAAATGATTTTTTCATTTTTTTTTACATATAACGTTACAGTTTATTTATTTTAAGTTAAAAATCGTAAAATCTTTGTTTTAAAACGCAGACCATAGATGGCGCTATTTCATCTATTAGAGACTTAATCGCGTTTTTGTGACTTTTAAAATTATTTTTTGGTTATTAAAATTTCCTTTTAGAAACGTAAGCAAGGTTATTACCATTAAGTAATTTCATTTGGCCTTTTAATTTAATTAAATTAAATCATAAGCCAATGTAATTATATTGGCTCATGATTTTTTCCTTAAAAAATCGGATTAAGTAATAATAAGAAATTAAATATAAAAATGTAAAAATTATAGTTGTATTAAATAGATATAAATATTATGTTCAAATGTTCAAATTTACCTGAACCAGTGTGTGCACACGCCTTTACAATGACGTACGAGGTCGTCAACTGAGACAATTTATTCGCAGATTTTTTTAAACAGTACTATGTGTTTAGTGTCCATCCGAACACTTGTTTGATTTAATTTATAAAGTGACCGTGAATTAAGTTTTTATTAGAAAAATAGTGTATAATAATAATGTGTGATAGAGAATTAATAAGACAGACATCCTTGAGTCGAGCCGGGAGTGTTAGAAGAAAGAATCGAAACATACATATAGATTTACCGGACACTACACGAGAGAAGTGAGATTTTTATATTATTAAGCTATTCAATTATCAAAAATTACATCAAATATTATTAATATTAATAATTTAATATATAAACTTCGCTAACACATAAATGAAATGGTAGAAATAAGGATGCATGTACTCTTGGGAAGAATGGATTTCGTTTAAGAACTTACCATACTTATATCTTCTTAAATCACTCAAGTTATTTAAGTTACAGTTAAGCGTCATACATCCATACAAGAAGTTGTTTAACCATTGGTTTCTGAATTCTCTATATAAAACATATCATCATCCCTGTCATTATCTTTGACAAAACAATAATTTTGATCTCAGAAACCCACAGTTACTCAGTCGACTAGAATAATTTTGAATTAAATCATCAACCAAAGCACTTCGGCAGTGGAATTTCACGGGTATGTTGATATTTTGAATATTTTCAAACAAAAGACGCACTTCAACATAATTAACATACGCTCCGATAGATGTATTTGGTATTCATAACATTTGGAATTGCTGTTCATGTAAACATTACTCCGTGTAAACCTGTCTTTGTTTATATAAGCTTTTAGTGTTTACATTTCCTAATACTGAGTACATTTAGACTGGTGATAGTGATCCCACAAATAGATTCTTAGGTTTTAGAATATGGATTATAAGTTTTATCGCTAAATGACGCACAATTTTTTTTCTAATTATAATTCTTGGATAAATTAAACACTTATTACTTACTTTAAACACTGAATAATCTTGTTAAACTTTATTTATTGTTTTGTTTTTCTTTTCTATAAATAAAATATATTTTTTTATAGAATATAATGTGAAGTATCTAAACCCTTATAACATGTTATATGGCTCTTGAAAGTAAACATTGTCTGTGTTTTAAAAATGTCATGTAAAATCATGTTACGTTAATGCAAATTTGTTAAGTCATGATGTGGTGTTAAAACTGTATAATTGTTTGTTTAGATTTAACTTGTTACTCGTGATTACGTAAGATGAAATGTGATATAATATAATCTATTTTCTTGTAAACACGCAAACATTAGAATTGAAAATCCGCGAGTGCGACATAGGAACAGAGAACTGTGTTTATCATCTTTGTATACTAAAGAATGTCACAATGGAAAGTCTGAGATAATCAATATTATTTTACTTCGTTTCTACTACTAATTAAACTTTATATCGTAAAATTTTAAATTTATATTTCCTTTAGAAATATCTTCTAGTTCTACGGCTTGTTTAAGTTCAAGTTATCGGTTAGTTGCTTACACCAATTAGTGTATGGCGGCCTTAGTTGTTCTCTAATTCGTGACTACCATTCTTTATTGGACAGCTTCAGAACATGAAGCCCTAAAAATCCTTGTTTAAAAAATATAGGAGAAAATACTACAAATCGCGCCATCTGTTAACGGGACTCGGAACTAACCAAGAAGTGAAACTTCCTGAACAGCTGTTTTCATTATTGATTTTCCGCCAAGCCTCAAACAAACCTCACTCCTGCAATACCTGCAGTTTACTCACAAAATTGACGTCATACACGTGACGTTGCACTTATAAAATGGTTATTCGTTAGTTATAATTACAAGAAAATGGAAAAAAAAACATTTATAATGTAAAATTCATAAACATTTTGTAGTGAAAGGTTATATTTGGACTTAATTATTACAAATAACAAAACTGTGCAAGAAAGAAGTGTGTGATAAAAATATAAATAAGATGGAAATGACTCTAAGTGGTTTATATAGAAGAAATTTTATAAGTTCACGTTCTGAAGATATCCCGATGGATACAATACGTTTGGTGTCACCGATAAACAGGTTCAATATGTTTAATGGGAATTTTAGTAATGACGATTTAGATTATTTAGAGAAGTAAGTAAATAATCGAAAATGGAAAAGCTTTTAAATAATTAACATTTATTATCGATACCGTTTTTTTATTTACATTAAGCAAAATTAAAATTAAAAAATAGTGACATGAGATTGTGTTATTTTCTTTATAATATTAAATAGGTTAATGAATTACCAAACTTACATGTGCTTAATGTCAAAAATAATAATAACTTTTATAGTTAAGGATAACTTTATAGCCAAAATAATTATATCGTAATTTGAACTTTTACATAAATATGATAGTAAGTACCTGTACGGTTTTATGAGTAATATTAATTGTACTGAAAACGTGTTAAATATTTCTATATCATATTATTTTTTAATTCAGTTACTATGTGTGGCTTACATAAAATGAAAAGGAACTTAAGACTAGAAATTACTATAATAGAATATTCTTTTAAAGCAGCTTGTCTATATTATATTTATAATGATGCTTTAAATAAATGTTCTTTCTAAAATTGTTATAGAAATTTCACAATGACAATTATTAAATGTCTAGTATTAATTAAGAACGTAAGAGAATTTTATAATGCACGTACTTTTACAGATTAATCTTATTTAATTAAAAAGTTACTGTTTACGACAACTACATTATTTGTACAGAGAAATTCTAACACTTTAGTTAAGTTTTTATTACATTTGAAACTATGTTTATCTACAGCATTAATGCATTGTTACAGACCATACAAGCTAAGGACCAAAGTTATAATTACTGGTCTGGTGCTCCTCGTCCTGGTATCTGCATTGAGTGGCTTCCTCATCGGCAGTGCTGACTACGCGGCATGGAAGAACTCGGAACCACCAGATCCACTGCGTCCATTAAAACCCTCGCCGTCTATTCTGCACATCTTCCAACGCGCCGCCGTGTGTACCGATGCACCACAGTGTTCGAAGATCGGCAGGTAAGCGCTTTTTATAATACATTTTTTGTACATGACGTGTATAAAAAAATAAAATGTTTAAAAAGACCACATTTTTCTGTTAACAGTTTTGTTTAGCTACTCGTCAATAGATGGCGGTGTAATGATTTAATTTTAGACCAGTGTATCTAATTAAATATCGATACGATAAAATTTCATATAAATAATTGTTTTCTTAATTATTTCGCATACGTAGTAAATATCATTCAGTAATAAATGATTGAATAATTTTTACTAAATAAATTCATTATCAATAATTTACGCGACACGATTTTAGCTCATTGAAAGTGTTGTCATATATTGCTTCTCTCTACTAAAGTGGTAGATTTAAATATTTTTAACTTTAAACAATGTTTTGGATCTCAAAACTGCAATTTGCGATATCCTACTTTAAGAAATATATATGAGAGTTAAACACATTGTTAAAAAATCTATGTTGGATTGTAAACGTAACGTACTTAATTCCATGCGATCATTTGGTCCAAGACACGTTTATTTACTTTACATATGTTATTACATTACATATTTCATTTTCTCTGGATATAAAACGAAGGACAAGATCATTCCATATCACAAGGTTGAAGTTGATGAAGAGTCATATTAATAATCATTTAAGTAGCCGTGAAATTACCAAACCCTTTACTTTTTACTTTGCTTGGTAGTTTTTTTATTTATATGACCACACCGTAAAACATAAACACAACGTGCTGCGCATAAATAAACGTTCTTTCATAACCGGGTCGCAGCGAGCTCTCCGCCAATCACGTTTCGAGAATTTTATCGACGCGCATGCGGTCAGTGACGTGTCGCACCGTGCCTATATAAGCACACCGGCCTTTGGCATCGCGAACATTTCATTGAAACAAAATCAACCGTAGCGTTGTCACAGTGACAAATCTCGTGTGGACTTTAAACAAATTACATTTTCAACAATTAAATATGTCCGAAGCTTTCTTTGACGAGTACGATTACTACAATTTTGAACACGACAAGCACATCTTCTCCGGACACAGTGGGAAACAACGCTCGAAGAGAGAGGTAAGCGAGCACACGAACCACTTCGATCCGTCCGGCCATTCTAGAAAGATCGTGACCAAGTTGGCTAATACAGAAAAGAATAAGAAAGCCGGTAAAAAAAATTAAATGGACAATTTGTGAAACTGACGACCATGGCGTGCAAAAGGATAGTGGAAATGCCAAATGAAAGGAGACTTTTATTGAGAATACCCGAGGAGAGCGCGGGTCGTAGCTCGTCGCAGAGATCACTGGAACACCCGAGACGATTCCTGTTGACTCAGGGCTTCTACCTCGCCCAGCACGGCGCCTCTGCCAGGGCGCGCTGGCGGACGAGGCAACGGCAGAAATGAATCGTGTACCGGCCTCATTGTAACCGGTAAATCTATTTTGGATACAACACCGTTCCAACGACTGATCTCAAATCTCACTGAGCTTGTTATAAAGCTCAAAATTGCTGTGTTACTAATTAACTAGATGCTTACTTTATTACGTTTTAATTTTGTATCGCTAGCGGTACACAAAGGACTGTAATAATAATTTTAAGTTAATAAAAAATAATAAATTATACTTTGGTTTGTTTTATTTGGTCGTGTTTGCTAGGCGGAAAATAAACTGTCCTCTGGCGAGGTCGTTGGCTTGTTTGTTATTGAGTTGATATACAGGCGGACGCAAACGACTACGCATCTACAATTCTTGTTTATATACAAAAAGAACCTTGGCTCGACTATCTGCTAGTCCGCGACTCGTTGACCTTGTTGTCTTACTTTTTACATTCATGTATTATTGCTGTTTTTTTTAGAATTAGTGCTGCTTAGGTTGAAAGATAAATCTTTATAAATTTCTCTGCTGAATTATCGCAAATCTTGAACCATGATTCCTGAATTCATTCATTATATGGAGTACAAAGAAAAAATAAATTACAATACACTTATATAGAAAGTAGAAGACATTTGTGGGTAGGTACCTAGCTTCATCTCAACTAGAAATAGGTGAAAATTAATTGAAACAAAGATTAATTTTCAAGTGATATTATAGAATTAATAGAAGTAAATAATTCCAGTAACTTACGACATGATTGTCTTTTATAAATATTGTAGATAAGATAAGATTGGTAAATAGCATTAGGTATGATCAATGAATTTCAGTCAGGGGTTATTAGGTATGTATGGCCCTAGGGCCGGCATTAGGGTAGAGCGTGGTTGGGCGACCGCCCAGGGCGGTGGACATAAAAAGGCGCCATAGGTCGGCGAATAACACATTCTTACATAACTCTAACAGGATTAACGCCCCATCAAAGTCACGATAAAACAAAGGACGCCTTAGAAACCTCGCCCAGGGCGCCAGCTTAAACCGACACTGCGGTAGAATTGTTACATTTAAAACCTCACTTAGGGTTTTCAGATTCCAAAAAATGTGTGATGTAAAGATGGTCAATAAAAATGATCATCCAAAATATAATTATAAAAAATTCAATAAGAGTATTAATGATACTGCGACAAGTTGTAAGATACGTATTTTATTTGTAGGAAGAAGGAAGTTAACCAAAGTAACATTGTACCTAAGGAAGTCTGGTGATAAGAATTTTAAACGAATATAAATCGAAAGAAAAATGAAAAAATGCGATTACTTTAGTAATATACTTCTTAACACTAGGCCCTATACAAATATGACTAGCTAATGCCCGCGACGTCTACGTTACGATGGAAAAATATCAAATAATATAAAATATAGGCATCTAACACGTAATACAAATTGCATCTCCTGAGGCTATGCGTGTGTTTTATGATTATTATTATTATGAAAAAACTCACGACAGATATAATTAACTAAGAAGCCAAGGCCTAGACCCAGCCCTAATAGGATTATGGTCTACGTAACCAAGCATAGAAGTAAAGATTAAAAATAAATACTTTCTATAATGTTTCATCAAAAAGTCATAGTTTTGAAGTAAGAAATTGCTAGAAGGAATATCGCTGATTTTAAATGGCATATTAACGCGTTTGCGTGCGCTGACTCACGTAGGCTTGTCCTTATTCCACTTTGAAGCAACTTATTGCTTATTTTTATCTGTGTATACATATTTTGAATGTTAAAGTACTATATTGGCAATTAAAAATGACACACAAGACTTTTATATGCGTTCTTACTAATATAGTGGGTAGGAGCAAAATATACTTGACTGGTGCGCTGGAAGAACTTAGGCCTACAGGTGCAAGGGAACATAACATGTACTCGGACAAAGGACAAGATGGTACTGAATTCACTGCTTTGTACTCTAAAAAATACCAATCTTTTTATGTACGTCTTGATATAAAGGTATCGCTGTCTTCTTGCTGTGAAAACTGATAGTCTTTTATTTCCTTTAGACAAATCCTCGTCTCAAATGGTTCCGCGGTGGACGCAGCGATCGCTGCGATGTTCTGCAACGGACTGTACAACCAGCAGAGCATGGGGCTCGGCGGCGGGTTCTTCATGACCGTCTACATAAAGGAGGAGGGCAAAGCGTATACTGTAGTTGCGCGAGAGACAGCCCCTGCCGCCGCCACCGCAAACATGTTCCATGGGAACTATGATAAAGCGAAGAAAGGTGAGCAATTACATTTATTCTCAATAGATGGCTGTCATTTATTTTCACATAGGGGTGTGCATTGGCCCTTTTTAATCTGTCGATACCTAGGATAGAGTTGTTTTCAGCTTGCAGTTCCAAATTGCGAACGCGAAAGATTGAATAGCATAATATTGAGAGTGATTTAAGCTTAAAAAATAAGACATAGAAGCTTAGTTATTTTAATCTTTATATTTTACTACAAAAGTATAGATTACCTTCTATACTAGGTCGAGGGCTATCACTTGTCTATCCATATACTTGTTATTTATTTATATTGCCTCTGGAAGGTCTTATCGACTTATATTTACAGCTAATATACGGTTTCTCTTTACAAATGTGAAACATTACTAAGGTTTATTGCGTTGAAGATTCATAGAACATAGTCTGTTAGCGGAAGATTTTTTTTATAGTTCCAGTAAATTATTACATCGATAGGCATTTGTTAGGCATACGTTGTATTATAATCGCTTAGTCGGTGTATCGTGTTTGTACGTATTGAGGTTATGTCTCAGTTTATGCAATCGTATTCAGAAACATGCGTTGCTAACTGAAATCGTTTTATAAACTGGGGGCCTAGCACGAAAGTTATCGTGAATGTTTTCGTAACTTCATCGATAAAATTTTTATAACATTTCTTATGTCCGGGGGCTGCACTAATCTCATACAATTTTTGTCGATAACTACTCTCTCGTAAGTCTTACTGCCAGGTTCTATGTTATCGTAGTTTTCTATTTATATTTTTTATAGGAACACCATACACGTCATAAGTCTGTTTTGTATATAATATAAAAGGGAAAAACAAATGACTGATATTAAATTATATGACAGTACTTATATGACGATATGTTTTATACAGAGATTTTGATGTCAGAAAGCCACGGTAAATCATGTTATATCATTTAGTAATAATAATTATAGAAAAAGTCTTACTTTCTAGATCTAGGTAGTTAATACGATAATATCTATGTATCGATAACAGTATTATCGATTAATACGTGTCCGTTCCAGTTAACCTTATCATCGTGGCCTCGAAAATCTTTACTGTTTATTATTTCTTTGTTCAATACAATGCTTTATCTGTTACAATATCTGTCTCAGTCTTTAATTGTCACTTATCTAACCTTTAGTGTAGATTTTACAAAACAACAATATATTCTTAATGTACGTCAGATTCAGATATTCGAACTTTAAACAAAGAAGTTTGCTTTTGTTTTAAATAAAATACGCATTCAAAGATAAACAATCAAGGCAGTGCATAGGGCAGGGGTGGTGAACCTTTACATATCAGCGTGCGCTTTTGCAAAAGAGTGTTGCATCCTCACATCTACCAACTCCACTTATTGGTATCCTTTTTATAATAGTAATTTTGTAATCAGCGAAGTGTACAATTGTATTGTGCCGTTGGTTCGCCACCCCTGGTGTATAAACAAAAACGTGTATTGAGTACGAGTATACAATAACAATGTGTTGTTGTCACTGTTTGTTTCAATGAAAATGAAAGAGATAACAATATGTTTCCACAGTGAAAAAACGCAAATATCTAGAAACTCCAACATACCGAATAAAATTTTGGTCTATTACCAGTATTACCAATTCTTAACAAAACTCCATTTGAAGAACAAAAGGTATCTAATTGTGTCTATTGTTAATTTAAGTGGGTTATATTTTTGATAAATCTCTTTCATCGTAAAAGCAATTGTTTAAATATTACTTTTTTTAATGAGAACAACGACCTGGTTATGGTATAAAGTTACAACTACGAGAATATAAAGACTCTTTAACATGCGACCTTATAAAATGTTCATTATTGTTGATTTAAAAATTGAAATGGAATAAAAATATTTGAGTCAACTAGAGCAAAAGCATAAAGCTAATTATCTGTAAAAATCATCCAACTCGTTTTCCTTTAAAACACATAAACAACAAGAGTCAGATGGTATCATCACAGCTCACTATACGTCCCCACCGAGGGGCTCGGAGCCTAACCTAAGTTAGGGGTGATTAGGCCATAGTCAACCACGCTGGCCAAGTGCGGGTTGGTTGACTTCACACATATCTTTAAATTTCTTCGCATATATGTGCAGGTTGTATCAACGATGTTTTCCTTCACCGTAAGAACGTCGGATAAATGTATATATGTAAATCGAAAATCGAAAAACACATTGGTACATGGTGGGAACGAACCCAGGACCTGCAGATTACAAGTCAAGTGCTTTAACCCCTGAGCCAGATGGTACAGATGGACCTTGCTTTTGTTGTATTTTGGACATCTACATAAATTCACAATTACTATGACAACCACTAAATTGTAATCGCAGCTCGTTTGCCAACTTATCTAATGAAAAAAACTGCATCTTTATTCACTCTCTGACTTTCGCTTTAAAGAATCGGAAAGGAAATGCTGACGTCATAACATTAATAAAACTCTAAATAACTTTTTAGTAGTTCAGAGGATATCATAATGTTATTAAGTATTTTATAATTAATATCAAACGTGTTACTAAGCCTGTCTTAAGAATGTGCGAGTACCTACAGATTTTGCGAGGCGCTTTCATGAGAAAGTTTCACCGAAGCTTTCTCTTCGATCTGGTTCGACCGACTAATACACGAGAGACGCAAGATCTTTTAAATTTCACTAACACATATCATATCACTTTATCATAATATGAATGATGAACCAACATTGTGATGGAGCCATCATAATAAAGGAATAATATTATAAGATTTTTTTTATCACTGATTATGACTAGACTAAGGTAAAAATTTCATAGTCCTTGTTACGACTTTTCCAATAAATATTTTTGATTATTTATTGGTTCAGGAAAGAAAAATAAGGTCCATTCTCCGTATTTCTATAATTAATTCCAAATAATCTTAAATCTTTTCACGTGTATAGTCGTATGACTGGATTGGAACCCAGGATCGTAAGAACGATGAATCTTTAAACTCTATCTTTTTTTCACAGGTCCACTGGCTTTGGGCATTCCTGGTGAACTGCGGGGTTTATGGGCTGCGTACAAGAGATGGGGCAAACTTCCCTGGGAGAGTTTATTGGCCCCCACACTGGCTCTCTGTGAGAATGGCTATGTCATGTCAAAAGTCCTATTCGATGGACTTGAAAGTGCACCCTATGTAAAGAATGATCCAAATCTAAGGTAAGTATCTGATTAAAACTTCAAAATACAACTTTTTTCAGTACAAAAGTCAACAATTTAGCTAATATCTGTGATGTTTAGAGACTATCTTAGTTACAAATTGAATTAATAGGAAAAGAAAGATTACGGAGAAAGTAATGAAACCTCTTTAGTTACTTTATATTGCGTCATTTTTTATTAAGTTAGAAGGAATAATAAAAAAAAGTCCAACTACGCATATTTCGATTTGCATATGAGTCATTCTCGTCTATCTTGTATTATGCAATATGTGACTAGATTGCGCGTTTGTTTTCAAACATATGTATAATGTTATTTATGCTAAGTTTATAGTTCAGATAACATTATATATTATAGTGACGTGCAAATAGATACTTAAAAAAAACAAAACAACAATGACCTTTGTAAAACATATTATATTTCATATCTTTAAAAAAATTGGATGTATGGATATTTCTTAGAAGGTATCTCCAGAACGACTGCATGAACCTCGCTGAAAACTAGCATATATGTAGAACATAACCTAAAAGAACACATAGTATACCTATTACGTTTTTTTAAACTGCGTGCGGACGTTAGCGACAGCTATTAGTCTATATTGCTGTTCATTAAACACACACAAACATTAAAATTTGACAGAACAAAACAATAAAAAATGCTTTGTTTTTAGGAAAACGTACTACAATCCTACAAAAGGCCAGTTCCACAGACCAGGGACGGTTGTGAAGCCGAGTGAAGCATTATGTAAGACGTTGAAGGTGATAGCTAGGAACGGTGGCGATGAACTATACAATGGAAGCCTCGCTGTTGAATTCTTAGATGATTTACAGCGCGCCGGCAGTATCGTTACAGCTGACGATCTGAGAAATTATCAGTAAGTTAAAAAATATTTTTAACATTTAAAAAATACGCTAGTACAAGTACAATTTCAATTGACGCATAAGAAACAGTAGTCGCTTTTTGTGATTTTTTTCTTTTTTTTTTTTTGTTTAAGACTTTTGTTCTTTTAAACATGTCAGCCATGTAATAAACTGCTTACAAAATAATTACGACTTCAAGTTAAGAAAATGACAAAAAAGTACAAGCAATAATAATAATAAAATTTACTTTTTTGTGCTTATCGAACTGTAAACAAGATATTTTTCTAATTTTTTTCTGTATCTACTTCAATAATCAGTTTTTAAATGGCACATATTAAATCAATTAAAGTTTTCTAACCTAAAATTATTAACACGTAGGAGCCGTTGATTTGATAAAATAATAAAGCATGAAAAAGACAAGATTTGAACTCAACACAATTTACGACGTAAATACGTAAATAACTCTTAAAAAGGTTCTGTATACCTGTGAATCTATGAAAATGTCTTCAAGTCAAACTACTAATAAAACAAGGTGTACTTATTCCATTTCAATCAGGCTCTTATTCCGTGTATTTTGTAGTACTTAGTACCACTTAAAAGAGATGACTATTACTATTGCACAAGAAATTTTACAATATTTCATATTCTATAAAAACTTCAATAACTTATGATTCATAACAATTCGTTGTAATGAATCGTGGTATTTTGTTAATATACACAATAAAATGACACGTATAGATAAAAAAATAAGAATTTTGATGACCAAGAGAATTAACATTTTAAAAATACAGTGTTTTTCCATTTAATCAAAAAAAAAATCCGAAAACAACTTAATTTTTTCTACGGTATAGCCTATTCTACTAATCTTAGTAAACATTTGATAACCCATATCTTTACAATTTATTTTTATAAAAACATCAAAACTGTTTTGTCATTAAACAAAACAAGTTATATTAAATTAATCGAGAATTAAAGCATTTAAAAAAATTGTAATCATATAAGCTGTATATCAGAATATGTTTTGAATTTTATATTATCATTCGATTTTAGATTTAGCATAGTTAACTCCACATATCTCATAAACAAACAAACCGAGTCACGTAGACGTCTGGGGGCATATCTTATTATTGAATTGACGTAGCGACTTTTGATAACCAGTTCATATAAATAACAGATTAATAACAAAAGAAATGTAATAAAATAAACAATAAATTGGACTGGACAGGATTAAAATGGATTGGACTAAACAGGAACAGATATAGTTAACACAGCTCAACGTGAAGTTATAAAAATAACAGCAATTCCAATTACAATGAGGTTAACGTATAAATAAATATATCGTTATGTTCTTGATCGCAACTAAAACAATAAATCAAATGTATTAGCGAAGGTTTTCCTACATATCAGCTTTAATTACCTTTACAATGACTCATTGATCATAGATTTATTTTTTATATTATCAACATTAGTTAACACTGCCATCTAGTGTGAATTTGAAGTTTTACCATAAATTAAATGAAATAAATCTTGCTAATATTATAAACTGGCTGTCGCCCGCGACTATGTCCGCGTGGATATATAAAAAACTTAATGAGTGTAGCCCACCCACATTATATTCATCTAAACATTCGCATTTATAATATTAGTAAGGTAAATAAAAAGCAGCTCTACAAGGCGTAAATTCGATAAAAAAAAATTAATAAATAGTATCCTATGTCCGTCTCCTACTCTAAGCTACCTTCCTCCACACCAATTTTCAGCCATATCAGTAAAGCCGTTCTTGAGTTATAAATAGTGTAACTAACACTACTTTCTTTTATATATATAAGATGCGAATGTGTAGGTGGATGGACGGATGTTTGATGGTATCGCCAGAACGACTCAACGGATCTTAATGAAATTTGGCTCACGTGTAAAACATAGTCTGGAAGAACACATGTTTACTTAATTTTTTTATTCCGCACAGACGGTGTTACAAGCAAAACCTAGTTTACAATGTAACTATAGTCAGGTATATTAAATATTATTTTGCTTAAAGAAAATTTAACTTAAATGGCACATTAAATAAATTACGTATTCTTCGTTATGCTGTACAAGCGTTACAAATTATGTTTTGCGATTAAAATTCTCAATTCGACAAAGTTCGACAATATTACTTTGCTGACTTTATTTCACAATATGGCGGATATTTTTATTCATATGCACCTGTGTAAAGTTAAAACGTCTTAAACAATAACATTCTAGATGAATCATTGTTATTATTCTGTTATTTGAGAGAATAAACATTATCGCTCTCATTTAATTTTATTGTTTCTGCTTAATAGTTACATTGACATTTTGTCATTGTCTACTACCTTAGGATCCATTCAGACACTTCGGGGCGGAGAGCAGATTTTATCACAAATAAAATTGAACTTTATACGATAGACAAAAGGTTTAATTTTACTTTGCATGTCTTTTCTTATCACATGCAAGCCTTAAATAGCGTATACGCCCCGGTTTGTATGAACTGACAATTTAATATGAGAAATGGTATATTTTTATCATTTTGTTTACTGACTTTTAATAATACTCAGAACTAATAATAACGCACATTGGCAAACTATTATGTAATGAGACATATTACTTTATTACAATAAAATATATAATAATAAAAAATAGGACACACTTGCACGCAAAACTTTTGATAAAAAAAAATAACTCAAAATCGTAGCACCAGAGGCGGAGTTACGCGGTAATATACATAAAAACACAGACGAATTGATAACCTCCTTCTTTTTGAAGTCGGCTGAAAATCGATAGGATTGAAACAAGATTCGTTTTAATTGTTAATCAACTTTGATTTTTAAATCATGACTGGAATACGATGCGATCTAAAATATAAACAAAAAAAAAACACATTAATAATAGCAAAAAAAGTACTACTTTAGATTGAAGCCGCTCACACGCGTAGACTTTTTTGCTTCCAATACGAGTTTGGGTTTTTTATAGACAACTTACCGTTGGTTTCAGAGATCAAATCTCTTTATAAAACTTATCGTCATCTTTGTCATTACCTTTTACAAAACAGAGACAGAATATTTTAAACGGGGATTTTTGTCACAGTAACCCACGATCAGATAACCTTATCACAAGAGTATTGCACTCAGAGTCACTTAGTATAATGATTTAACACTCATCTACACTAAGCGATACATTTAATGAACATTTAACGTGTCTATGTTTAATATGAGCGTAGTAACGTCATCTGAACACTGTTTACTACGCAATAGGAAATAAAAATATTTGAATATATGTAAATACATATGTACGTAATATAACGCGTAAATTCTCTTATCTGTTCTAGTTTTATTAAAAAAAACACGTTTAGAAACTGACTAGGAAATAAATACAAAAGTGACAGAACAATTTTCAACGACGAGATATACTAGATATAAATACTCGTAAAACAGCAAAGAATTCCAAATGATAATTAATTTTCATTTAACATATTCTTCACTAGTATTAGTAATCTTACTAATATTATAAATGCGAAAGATTAAATATTGGTTGGATGTTTGTTTGAAGGTATCTTCGGAACTGCTCATGGATCTTTGTAAATTTGGCATAGATGTAGAACTTAGTCGGGTAGAACATATAGGCTACTTATTAAGCTTTTTTTTATTCTGCGCGGATGGAGTCGCGGGCGATAGCTAGTATATGTAAGAGATAGTAAAACAGTATAAAAAAGCTAGTCTTAAAATAAATATAATCGCTAAATGTTATAGTTATTTTGTTTTAACAGCATTTAGATAATTGTGTTGTGTTTGTCATGGAAAGGTACATGGGGTCACGAGATATGAACTATATTCACAACTTTGTATCTTTAATGTCAACAAATACGATACACTATGCTGTTAATAGAACAAATTAAACTTATAAACCTAGGTCGTAATTATAATGTTTTGATAACAATACGTCATTGACGTCACTGAGTTTGTTTTTTAAACATGTTTAAACTTGGAATCCAAATTTACTTCCAGCCTAAACGTTCGTCAGCCAAAGCTTCCATTGAAATTCTTTGTTTTTTAAAAAGACATTAAGAAGGTTATATATAATTATTTTTGTACAAAAGTACTGTAAACATTTTAAATGTTGTATTGTATTTTGAAGGTATATTATAAATTCCAACTGTGTATATGTCGTCTCTATGGAGAATAATCTGATCTGAATAACGTAATGTTTTCTATTTGTATATAATTCAACTAGACCTTGACCTAATCTAATTTGAGCGAAGCGCAAAGAAAACTCCTACAGATTTTTATTCAGACCGTTCGTTGTGCCAAGGAAAGTAAGCCAAAATATTAAAAAATTGTGTTCCCGTTTAAATGAGACTTGACAAACTCGAATCACGGAATATATAAGAAAATCTCTTAATATTTCTGTATTTGTTTTTTAAGATATTTTTACTACATTAAACTGACTTATTCAGGCATAATCATCGCTTACATCAAGTGCTATTCTGAGTTTAAAATCATTAAAACCTTATCACAGTTATAAATCAAAACCAGTTATTTTTTATAACGACGATATCTGATTGAACTATCGTATTTTTTACAATGCCAAATTGTATGGGGCTCGTAATTTTGCACGCCATTTTAAGTATCGACGAAACATTAAGGTTTATCTTACTTCTTACTAATATTATAAATGCGAATGTTTAGATGGATGGATGTTTGTTTGAAGGTATTCGCTGAAATTTGGCATAGATATAGAACATAGTCTGGAAGAACACATAGGCTACTAATTAGGTTTTATTTTATTTCCTCGCGGACGGAGTAGCGACAGCTAGTTCTTCATTCAGACATTCGCTAGTTGTTAACAACGAACTGCCGTAAAGTTTCAAGCTTTTAATACGGAAATACATAGCCATGTTATAATTTAATTGATAATATTTCAGAGCGAAGATAACGGATTCTTTAGCTGTTCCTCTAAACAATGGCGACGTGCTGCACGTCCCGCCACCGCCCAGCAGCGGCGTCATCCTCGTCAATATACTGAATATACTCAGCGGTTACAATTTTACTCATAACAGTATTAACACCACTGAAGACAAAATACTCACATACCATAGGATTATAGAAGCATTTAAACACGCGTATGGGACGCGGACTAAGCTTGGTGATGCTGATTTCTTAGATTTACGTGATGTAAGTATACATTTTTTACAAAATTCGCGTTAAAAAAACCGACTATGTTCGATATTTAGAGAAATTTTCTATTAAAACATTCTATCCTTAACATATTGTTATGTCAGTTTGATTGAAACAAAGAAGATAATATGTTTTATACAAAGATTTTGGTCTAAGGAATCCACTGTTAACCAGATACGTTTTATATCTAACAGCTAATACAAAATGTGACGTCACCAAGCTACGGCGCGGAGATACGAGCTAGAATAAACGATTCCTCGACCAGCAATGACACAGCGGTGTACGGCGCCTCCGAGTACAACCAGCCGGACGCCGGGACTGCACACATCTCTATTATAGGCAACAATGGAGACGCAGTCTCTGTAACCAGTTCTGTTAATTACTAGTAAGTTTGATGTAAGATTTAGAAATAAAGAGAGAAGTTAGCTGTTGCTTTCTCTTTCCTTCATACTGTGGCTTTCCATAACCAAAACTTTAATCTAATCTGTCTCTTTTTTCCATCCATTCTGAATGCAATGTACAAGACCCTTTTAGCATTGAACGATGAGATTGACAGTATGCTTTTTATGATTAAATAAACTTGGAGCGCTAAAATGCTGTTTTACAAAAATTTTAATAAATAATTTATTTTCAGTTTCGGCGCTGGTTTTACAACTCTTAATACCGGTATAGTGATGAATAATGTAATGGACGACTTCTCTCTACCGGGCTTTATTAATTACTTCGGCTTGAAACCGTCGCCCTCTAACTTTATAGCGCCGGGCAAGCGGCCGATGTCATCAATGAGCCCCAGCATCATTGTGGACAAGGGAGGCAATGCTAAGCTCGTGATTGGCGCCTCAGGTGGTACGAAGATTACCACAGCTGTGGCATTGGTAAGATACGAAATAAAATGACACAAATTATAATAGAGATGGTCTCCATCAACTATTTATTAATGAAGACGGTAAAGAGAAAAGGGCTTATTTTTACTATTAGTTTAATAATTGTTTAAGGTGGCAATGCGCAAGCTGTGGTTCGGACAGACGATTAAGCAGGCGGTGGATGAAGCACGTCTGCATCACCAGATATTCCCCATGAACGTCCAATATGAATACGGTATTCCACAGGTAATTTTTTTTTAATTTGTAGAAATTTACTATAAATCTACTTTTAAACTGAGTTTTTATACTAATATAAAAATACTATAATATAATAATATAAATAAAAATACCTCGTTACCTTTAATTCCGTAAGTAAAATGTTATTATTAACTCTAATGATCTGTATGCTAAACTTTTTTACAGGATATAATAAAGGGTTTAAGAGCAAAAGGTCACGGCGTGGAGCGCTACCCGGGAAGAGGCTCCATAATCTGCGCAATGTACAGAAATAGAACAGGAATCTACGCCAATGCAGATTTCAGAAAAGGTGGCGACGTCGCCGGCATTGACTAGCAAAAAAGTAATAATATTTTCAAAGACAATATTTGACGTAGCAGCGGCATTTTAGCGCTCCATGGCTAGTTCAACGCACAAATACTGGTTTGTTGTAGATATTTAAGCATTTACTGACTTTATTTTTAAATGTATCACAGTTTTAACTTGTCTGCTTCTAAAGCAATAATGTGCTGAAAGTGTTTACAATACTATGTCACAACTACGGGTCTGCGTCAAAACGCTTTATTTATGTATTGAATTGATCAATTTAATCCCATTCAGATAATTAAAAAAACAATATTTATGCATTTTTTAGCTTTGATCATGGAAATTGAGCTTATACTTTCTCACGTTCCTACCACGGCATACAAAAAAATTTAATTTTTAAGTTCTTATGCAATTTATAAAGCGAACTATAAAATAATAATTCATGTACAGGAACCCAAAAAGCCCCGGGACCCTTGATAATAAATGATACAAAAAAGGTCGGGTGGATGAGTCGTTTAATTAGCGTTAAGCGCAATCACAACAAAACAGTAAAATCAAACGCTAGCGTGCACTTAAATAGCGCAGCGCCATCTAGTTATTTTACAACGAAACTTATATTTTTATCAATATTGTACTTTTTATTTGCTCGTGAACATACCGCCCACCATGGACAGAATGTCCATCACAAACAAATACTTGACTAATTCTTACGAATTGACAAAAGCAACAACAGAAACTGTCCGCCCACCATGCCTGAATATACAATTAAACACAATAAAAATAGTAAACAAATTACAAAAAGAGAAACAACATGGTAATACAATTATATGGCGATATTGCACAATAAAACGCTAATCAATTAAACAAAACGTAAACAAAATAAACAACATTTCTTATAACTATTTTACAATGATAGCATTTATGCTAGTGGACTGTATAATACAACTTAAAAAATCTAATACTATTTAAGCAACAGGTAACACAACTAATTTTGACAATGGTCTTTTTATGACACTGCCCTTGCATCTTACGCTGACAACCCGCGTAAGGCCGTCCAAACCAGTATGCTTCTCAGTTATTATGCCAAAAAGCCACTTGGCCGGTGGAAGGTCATCTTTGCGAATAAGTACGACATCGCCTATCTTTAGTCCCGCGACCTGATCCGTCCATTTGTAGCGATGCTGTAACTGAGTAAGATACTCCTGTGACCATGTGCGCCAAAAAACTTGAAGCATGCGCTGCGTAAGATGCCACCTCTTCAATGAGGAAATATTTGTGTCTCCGTAATTTCTATCAGGAACAACGACAAGTGGTTCCCTCACCAAAAAATGACCAGGAGTCAGTGGATATGGATCATCCGGGTATGTCGGCAACTGAGAGATTGGCCTCGAATTTAAGTAGGCTTCAATTTGAGACAACAAAGTTGTCATCTCCTCGAACGTCAGTGTGATATTGCCTACTATTCTACGGAGATGGTGCTTAGTGGACTTCACTCCTGCCTCCCACAGTCCTCCAAAATTCGGAGAATGCGGAGGAATGAAGTGCCACTCTATACTGTTTGTAGCACACCACTCGGCAATTTCAGCTGCTATGGTAGACCTCTCTGTGTTGAACATTGCCTTCAGTCTCTTCGCGCTACCAACGAAGGTAAGTCTACTTTTTTTGTTCCTTTTGCCATGCTTCTTCAGATTATCTATCTCTTCCTGGAAATGATACCGTTGACACAATTTTATGCAGGTATTCAATTGTCCCAGCTCCTCTGCTTTTAGTGTACCCGATGATTTTAGAGAGAAAAACCTTCTACAGTAAGCGACAACTCTGGTAAGTCGCGTTGACGATGAATACTTGGTAAGTATACTACTCTCTGCTATGATGCTTGTAGTAGTGTGACATTTCAACTTTCTTTCTTTAATTGTAGTATCCGCAACCTCTCTTTTATAATCAATGTTTTTCTGTTTCAGGAACTCCGGGCCTTGCTTCCACATCTGGATAAGTTGTTTCAGCTCTTCTCTATAATTAAGCCAATCCTTCATCAGTGATGAAGGGAGTTCCTGATCCCAATCGATACCTGACAGCCATAATCTTTGTATGAAAACCTTTGCTGTTATTATGGCTGGAGCTGTCCATCCGAGAGGGTCAAACATTTTTGCGATGTCCGAAATAACTCTGCGCTTCGTTACAGGAGTTTCCAAAGGAGGAAGATTCACGGTGTACTCGAATTCGTCGGAGCTTCTATTCCAGGTAAGTCCTAGAATTTTACTAACCGTGTCTGTTTTAAGTTCCAGGTGTTCTCGGGTTGCTTGTCTATGGTCTTTCTGTATATGATCCAATAATTCGGAATTATTGGTAGACCATCGCTGAAGCTCGAATCCTCCACGACCAAGCAAGTTCTTCATTTCGTGGTAGATCTTAATACCTTCTTCGACATTCTGACATCCTGTCATCAAATCGTCGACGTAGAAGTCCTTCAACACACGGTTCGACGCAAGAGGAAAATCAGCTCCCTTATTGTCATTTCGCACTACTGCGTGATGTGGTAAATACACCGCATCAGTCTTTTCTTTATCCTCGACCTTCTCCATATGGCCGAGGTCCAAGTATTCATTGATGACCTTGACATACCCTTTCTTCATGTCAGGGTCTCGTAAAAACCGCTTTTCTAAAATAAGAAACCTTTTCTGGGCAATTTGTTTCGAGTGACCATATTTGCATTTCGGATCCGGTGTGCGAAAGGGTAAATTAACCACGTAACGACCAGATTCGTCTCTACGAGTCGTTACCGCGAACAACTTTTCACACAACTGCTCTTCTTCCGTTAAATACGTTTTCTCTATATCGTATTGGTCGGACTCCAACTCCCAGAACTTCCGTAAGAGCTCACTCTCGTCTGAATGAGCTGAGTGCAAACTAACAACAACGTTATGACACGTTTCCAACTGGGCGCCTGCTTCTTTAACTTCACCAGAAAGAATCCAGCCAAATTTAGTGTTCTGAGCAAGAGGGTAGCCCGGTGGACCCCTAATCAACCCTTGCAACAGAATTTGGCTGTAAACCTCGGCACCTAACAGAATATCTATTTTATTGGGTGTGCCAAACGAAGGGTCAGCTAAAACTTCACAGGATAGTGAAGGCAACATCGGGACGACTATCTTCCTATCAGGCAAGAGAGACGTTACCTTGTTCATAACATGCGCCTTGATATATATGACAAAACTGGGGTCGTGGCGGGACTGAATTTTCATGGAGACCATGAACCTACAGGACAAAGATGCTTGTGGGTCACCGCCTAGACCTGAGACAACAGTTTTGATGGGATGTCTCTTTAATCCCAATAACTGGACCGCGGACTCCGAAATGAACGAAGCCTGAGACCCCTGGTCTAACAGGGATCTTAAACAAATCAAAGATCCAGTTCTCGACTCGACATTTATCAAGGCCGTGGCCAAGAGTACGTGGGTACTAGCCTTGGCGAAACACGTCATAGCACGTGTGGACTCACCCGCTGAAGATGACGCTGCTTCTGATGCAACAACATCGCTACCAATAGGCTGACCTGGACTACTATTATCAAATCTCGGGATACTTTTAGGATGAAGAAGGGTGTGATGTCTTCTGCGACAAAGATGACATTTTGTGGATTGCCGGCAGGTGTACACAGAATGGCCTGTGTTCAAGCAATTAAAGCACAGTCCACTGGTTTGGGCAAAACTACGCCGATTGTCTACGTCTTCTTGAGCAAATCTCTTACAATTAAATAATTTGTGTCCCTTGTCAATACAAAATATACAACTGGCATTGTGAGGTGCGGTCACATGCAATGCTGTGGCCTTTTTTGGCTTTGTGTTACCTGGCTTATCAACAACATTTGAACCTAGGCACTCTAGTGCCCGAAACCTATTCTCTAAAAATGTTCTAAATTGACTTAGTTCTGGCAATTTATTTGAACAATCGTTAATTAAATTTTCCCATAATTTGCGTGACTCTGGATCGAGTTTTTGGCTGACAATATAAATAACTAGTATGTCCCAGGAGGTAACGTCAACCCCTAAGTTCTCAAGTGCATGTAAACATTCGTTCGTTATGTCAAGTAATTCCTTAATGGCACTTGAAGACTCAACAGTGATGTTCCTTTGGTTCATGAATCTTTTTAAAATACAATTGGCCAAAAACTTTTTATTGTTATATCTACTTTCCAACTGGGCCCAACAGGTAGTGTAATTATCGGCCGTGATAGGAATATGTCGCAACAATTGCTCGGCTTCACCTTGCAAATGGCTCTTTAGATAATGAAGTCGTTGCACATCGTCTAAACTTGGGTTATTGTGAATGAGAGACACAAACAGATCTCTAAAACTAGTCCACTCTACATACTTGCCCGAAAAAGTTGGGATGTCGATCTTCGGTAGGCGTACATAGGAAACTTTGGCTTCGCTTTTCGAAGATTGCGTTGTTAGCGTAGTCGCCCGCAAATTTGCCAAAGCTCCTTTTAATTTCGATTTGAATTCGATGTAAATCTCCTCAACTTCTTCGAAGCGATCTGATTTATAATAATCAGATGATTCGAACTCTGTGCCTTCCGATTCAAAAATAATCCTCTGATGACCCTCTTTAAACGATGTCCAACATTCCTCCAAATTATCTAAACGCGTTTCGACATTTGACAATGTTATCCTATCTTTTGACTGTTTGCCGAAATTTGTTTTGTTTCTAACTATTCTGGATTTAAGATCCTCCTGACATTTGAGCAAACGATCCATAATTAATATTAAATGTGAAGGAAAACTTAAACACAAAACACTAATACACAACACAAACAAATAAAAAACAAACAACAAAATAAAACAGTCAAAATCACGTAGATATACAAGTAGGTAAAAAACACTAAATCCAAAATCAAATGCAAAAATTTTACAAGTTTAAAAATTATTTAAAAATCACAAGTGTAACGGAATTATCAATTAAATTTTACTAAGTCTAAATTTCAACAAAATTTTTCTAAGTCCCGTATTCTATAAAATAATCTAAGTCCAGTATTCAGTAAAATTTTCTAAGTGTTTGAAACGTTATAATTCTATATGAAATCTGGCATGGATTCCCCGTCTGAACACTTTTTCTTAAATTATTCTAAGTCCTAAACTACACTTGTAATATTTTTGCATGCATTAATTATTTATATTCAAATTAAACTAAGTAATTTTCTTCTAAGCAATAAGGTTCAAATTGTTCACTTCTAAATTATAAATATAAAGTACTCACAGTTTGCCTGGTAACACGGTAGTCGCAACACAACACACTCACACTAAGACACTTCACTGACGTACGACGCAGGTGACGGCGGACGAGGAGGTGCTCCCCCCGCTGCTCCAGTTGCACTGCTTCGGTGTTGTTAGTGCGGCCTCTCCGCACTAACGACTTGCTCGGGATGGGACACTGTCTTCAAACCTCAGAAGACGCACGGCTCAATGTAGCCCGTTAATTATACGTGCACCAAACTCAATGGTGCGGTGGAACTGTACATGAATTCTGCCAACTGTCCACAATGCCGATATCCGGCTATCGAATGGACCATGTACAGGAACCCAAAAAGCCCCGGGACCCTTGATAATAAATGATACAAAAAAGGTCGGGTGGATGAGTCGTTTAATTAGCGTTAAGCGCAATCACAACAAAACAGTAAAATCAAACGCTAGCGTGCACTTAAATAGCGCAGCGCCATCTAGTTATTTTACAACGAAACTTATATTTTTATCAATATTGTACTTTTTATTTGCTCGTGAACAATTCATGAGGCAGTAAAATTATTTAAGATAAAGAAATCAACTTTTTAATGATATTTAAATTATCAATAGATAGGCAATTTACATTTTTCTTTTATTAATTATGAGTAAAGATTTTGTAAATATCATTGTTAATTAAAAAAATCAATTACACATTGAATTATTATTTTATTGCATTATTATTGTGTATTATTAAGTAGGCTAGAAATATAATACAATTTAACCTAACAAATTATCAGAGATAATTTATCTCTTTACTCAAAAATGTATGAAATTATGAAGCTAAGTATTATTTTCAATTGTTTGTTGACAAGTAATGGAAAAATTGTTAAAATCTTAGAAGGTTACAGTGATAATAAAATATTATTGTGATACCAATTAGATTTATTAATCTCCCAGCTGATATGAAATCTCTTAATTAAAAAAATAAACATCTTTTTTTTAGGTTATATTTATATTTTATTATAATTTACTTTAATTTTTTATTAAAAGCCTTAATATCAACAAATCTTAATTTTTAAGCTTAAATCTTTTATTAACAGTATTAAACTTTTTGTTCGCTTTTAACTATGACCGGAAAAATGTATAATTTTTATTTTAATGACATATTAATATAGAATTTCAGTCATTCAAAATAAGTGTGCTAGTATTATTTTGAATCGTACATAATTAGGTAACCTAGACTGTTCTCTATGTATGTTAAATGTAAACATAGAAAATAATCCAGTTTACTTATTTAATATTGTGACATTTTGCCTATTTATCTCAGGATTTTGGTATTAAATACCTTATTTCTCAACGAAATCAATGTCCTTAATAAAGATTTTCGTGTAATTTGTTTTCATATTTCTCCTCACCAACAGATGGCGCACTTAACAACGCCATCTATTATCGAATAGAATAAACTACGACTACACAACAATATAAGCTGAAATGACTATGGAACAAAATTATTTTTACTCAAGGTCACTTTGAGGTAGAGTAATAAAAAGGCAAATTCAATTCAAAGGCAATTTAATCATTTTTGCATTGTAATTGCATTGCACTGTTTACTATACTTAAATTCTATGCATAAAAATGTAGAAATATACACAATAACATCAACAGAACATAAGAAAAAATCTTTTATTAAAATTTAAAAAAAATAAGTGTATATCACTTTTAATAAAATCAAAATACGTAGTCCATAGACTAAGTTAAAATAAATTTCTACCTAAACTAAACAATATTGTCCCTTTCATGTACAGTCAGCGTCATATAGATCGTCACAGACAAGATATGCAAATATATAGGTACATCAAAAGTAATCAATTATATCGGTACAACAAAAGTCCTCAAAATAATAGATACATTCACCCTGCTCAAAAACATCGGTACATACACAGCGTCAAATATATGAGTACATGCAAGATGCTCATAAATATCGTAGCAGCCACAGCGTCATAAGTAACGAAGCAGTCAAGGTGCGCAAAAATATCGGTACATTTGACAAAATTGAACTCTATCTCTATATACTTGTGATACAATTTGGAATAAACTACTTCTGTTACATTCATTTGACACTTCGTATTAACATTATAGGTTGTCCGGAAAGTTCGTTCTGATTTTCGATATAAAGCTTACAATAGACTGTAGCTGAAGTGGATTCATTTTCGGATTTCCACCATTATCAAACGTCACAAAAATTTCTATATTGTGAATAATTTCATTTCAATGGTTGAGATAAAAACTAATTTTTAAAATTTTATCCAATAATAAAAGACGTTTTAGGTATAGAGTCGTACCAATATAATTTAAAACCATTTCCAAAAATTTAAGAGGACAGGGTTTCAATTTTCCTTATAAAGCGGCACGAACTTACTGGGCAACCCAATATTTTTCTTCTCCTGTCATAACGCTTAAATATATTATAAAAGTTTGTCACGCCGAATATGACAGATACGTAATAACTAATATCAAATTTTGCCTTGTCACAATATATACTAGTTTGGCGCAGTATTCTAGTATGTTTGCCGTAATATGTAAGTTTACCGGTTCGAATCTCAGGCTACTTTTTTTTCATTTTATCAATCACGTGGTTATTTTTTCATAACCAGTAAAAATTTGGTAATGTAAAATTTTGCTCGACAATTTTTTTTATAATTTTCGCTGTCGTGTAGAAAGAAATTTAAATAAAGTTAACAACAATTAAGTCAGACCATCGTGGTTGAAGTGAGTGGGCGGAGCGTGGATTGTCTTTGCGGGTTTTAAGAATGGTACGCGCGGAAACTATACGTACAAGTGTTATCTACATATGTGTGCGCGCCCACGCACACTGGAATGTTTATTGCAATCGACCAAAAATTTGATGTAGTTTGGATATTGACATTCAGATTTTTTTTCTTTGTTTCTTAAATATAATCAGTATCAGTAAAAGGTAAAAGTAAAAGTGTTATTTTTACCGGTACAAGTTTAACAAACATGAGTAATAAACAAATTACATGTCAATAGCATCACTTTATCTCCTTCATTTTTGTTTGAAATAGAAAAGTACTTTAGCGTTCAAACTCATTAGTCCAAGGCAATATCAAAAAGTACCTAATAACTACGGCGATAGAGTTTAATTACATGTGCTTCGATATTAAAATTAAAAAGTTTAAATATCAAAAAAAAAATAGTTGCTTGGGATTTGAACCGCCGAACTTACGTGCCAACGGCGGCGAACAGTAAGGCCACGAGACCAAACTAGCATATATGATGACAAACTTAAATTTGATGTTGGTTTTATCTACGTAATATCTGTCATCCGCGTCGAACACTTTTAGTAAATTTTGAAAAATGGTTTGATGCAAAGTGTCAAATGAATGTAACAGAAGTAGTTTATTCCAAATTGTATCACAAGTATATAGAGATAGAGTTCAATTTTGTCAAATGTACCGATATTTTTGAGCACCTTGACTGCTTCGTTACTTATGACGCTGTGGATGCTACGATATTTATGAGCATCTTGCATGTACTCATATATTTGACGCTGTGTATGTACCGATGTTTTTGAGCAGGGTGAATGTATCTATTATTTTGAGGACTTTTGTTGTACCGATATAATTGATTACTTTTGATGTACCTATATATTTGCATATCTTGTCTGTGACGATCTATATGACGCTGACTGTACGTTAAAAAAGAGAAAACGTTATGTTTTAGAACAGATAATGTGGAAAAACGCTCGAGTTGGCACGTCGAGAACTAAAGTAATCTTCTGTACGAAGTGCCAACTCAAGTGCCGGGTATCATGTATCTATTTGCCACCCACAGAAATGTTTTAAGTCACAATTACAGTAGACTTCATTAGAAATCTATACTAAAAGTTTGCTAAGTGACCGTAGGTGGCCCTAAACTGTGGCATTATACCAACTATATATCCAGAGCATCTCTCATAGCTTCGACGGGGTTGACAAACTTAGTTGAGCCGATAATAAGCGCGTTATCAACACCGCTGGTGATCATACTGCGGTGTAACTGTTTGCACTCCTCTGCGGTGACGCCGCCCACCACGAACAACAACACTGTAGGATTGTCCAACGGATGCTTTGCACTGCGCGACTTCTTACTCGTTAGCATACTGGAAGAAGAATTTTAACTACAGCTTAGTCGTTACTTCCTCTAATAAAGCCCTCTAGTACAAATCTATCATACTAAAATAATACAAGCGTCGACTTACCGTGTGTTTCTGAGACCAAATTCGTGTAATGGTTATATCATCATCCCTGACTTTTATCTTTGACAAAACAGATTACATATATGTGATATGTTTTAAACGGGGATTTTGGTTTCAAAAACCTACAATTAATGAATTTAAGGTGGCAGAAAGGGAATTTCATTTATGGTTCTTGTAAACCAAAAGTGACGAAGAGACATTTACATTTAAATTAATTGAAGACCATTAAAAACTACTGATAAAAACGGCTAAATGAAAAAAGGGTTTATAGCGTAACAAATAATATAAAAACCCTGGCTTGGGGGCGCTGCAACTGCGACTTTAACATCAGTTTCTAATTCACACAAAGAAACCGTTTATCCCAATACGGCTAGGGTTATTTCTGGTCAGTCTATACATATTTGTAAGCACACGATGTACTAGGGCAACATAAAACATAGATACTTGAAGCCTGTGCGGAGTATGTCCTTGAGGCCGTCGTGCCTGTGTCGCAGGTCGGACAGCTCGGGGCGCTCGCATGACGTCATCTCGTGCACCAGCTGCTGCAGCACGCCCACGTACTCGTAACCAACACCGCTCTCACTTGCCTTCAGCACAGACGTATATCTGAAAGTATACATACAAATTATATATCTATCTCTAATTCAAGACATTAATCTCTATTAATGGATAGGCGAATGCTATAGCAGCGGGGCTAGACAAAGTGCATTCGCTCCGAAGCGATTCCATAACGAACTTCAGAACTGTACAGAACTGACAATAACTTTCGATAAGTCACGGATTTTTCACATGTCAGTTTCATACATTTTTGAAGTTCGCTATGGAATCGCTTTGAAGCGAATATTCTTTGTCTAGCCCCGCGGTTGATATTACTTGACATTTAATAATATTTATATTAGTTCGAATCAACACCACCACTACAAAACTTTACTATCAGTGCCAAAATGGCGAAAAAAAAGGCACAGAATAATACGTCTTACAGCCATTCCATTTATAGAAGTCAGTGATTCTAGAGATCGAGGATAGGGACAGAAATTTAGTAGAAACTTCGAGATTAGGAGTAGGACGCAATTTCTGATATATTAGGTGAGATCAAAATTAATTGCACATTAAAAAAAAACATTAATAAAAACCTACTTGTTCAAAATCTTCCTCATCTGTGAGACATCTTTTAATTTTTTCATAATTTTACCAGCCATTTCCGCACAGCCTTCCGGAGTTGCCATACCAGGATCAGGGTTACTGAGCAGTGTCTTGTGGTCTTCAAATATGGCAACACTCAGCATTTCAGTAAGTGTGTCTTCATGTTGCTTGTTGAAGGACACTTCGGTGCCAGTGAGAGAATAAACATGAGTGATAAGTGCTAATAGATTCTCTAAAGGAAGATTTCTTTCCTTCCGTGTTTTTATTAGTTGACTTATCTGAAAAATAAACCAAGAGGTTAGCAATTAAAGAGATGTGGCATCTAGTAGGCACTTTGTCTATTTATTTATGAGTTTTAATCTGTAATTAAACAGTTAAACCTAGATAAGCTAGGATCTAAGGATATTTTTCTCACTTATAAGGTTTGTTGATTATCCAGGTTTGACTGTATTTGTCTTTTTTAAAATTGCCTGATTAATATGATTTTCAAATGTCAAAAGATTTGTAAAAACAATCTCATGCCACTCAGTGATTAAGAAAATAAAGATGGCTAAATTCAGTTTGGTACTTCAAAAACCAAATAACACAATTTTACATTCATTAACAGCTTAAAACAATATAAAAAGACAGCAAGATGATGATGTTAGAAGTAAAATTAGAATAATTATTACTATTGGGGTCAACTGTCAAAGTCAATTATCTTGTTTTCTCTCTAAGAAACAGAGATATACATGTATCTATACAAAATGTGGAATCACAGCTGTACAATTTTATTGATGTTAATACCTGATGAAGAACACTAGTCGATTCCCTGCTCGCAGCAAGGCTCTGATGCACCTGCCGCTCCAAGCCCATCACCAGTTCCATTTGGTTCCTCTTTGGTGACTTCAAAGTTTGTACCACACCAAGCGCTTGCTGGAGAACACCTATATGTTTACCAATAATATCATAGTTACCTGCAAAAAAAAATAATTTCAATTATTTTTAAATTACTTATAAAAGTATCTCTTGTGTCGGAGGCTAAGACCCACTTTGGGTTGATGCACCAGCGGTGTAAGTAAGTATAGAAGTTTTCAATAAAACAGGATTTTAAATTTGTGTTTTTCCTTCAATAAAAATCATTAAGCAAATAAAAATATTAAATAGTGTTAGTATAAAACTTTTATATATTTATTAGAATCTCAAGGAAACGAATAATAACTTTTTTTAAATACATCTTTTCATCATAATTCTTCTTTTATAGTATTAGTCATATGGGTACAAACAGTTGCTTAAAACTTAAAAAAAATTAGTAATTAATATAGCCTATATCGCCCCAGTATAGTGAAGCTAGCCAATAGTAAAAGATGTTTTAAATCGGTTCAGTATTTTCGGAGCCCACTCAATACAAACAATCAAATCTATCCTCTTTATCATATTAGTATAGATAAATATAAAAATGTTACTTTACCTTTAGATGCAATAACAATCTTCTCAACACTCAACGGTGTGACTTTCAACAACGTCTTAGGTCCAGGTGACTTTTGTACATCAATCTTAGAGAGCTTATTGTACAAGTCAAACATGACTTCCTTCTGTGACTTGTTAATCATATAGTCAAATGTCTGTGTGCATGCATCATCATCTGCATGGTAAAGACATCCCGCAGCCAATTGGATATCATCAGGATGTGTTATACTGAAAAGATACAGATTATTAAATTAGTTGTTTAGTTTGTTTGGTAACTTTAAATGTGTATCCGTAATTGTGATCACCCTTAACTTAGGGTAGGCTCCGAGCCCGAATTTTATAAACATTTTTTCTTAATGATATTTACAACTTACACATTGGCTTCACAAAGTGGTGACATGTCAACTGCGACGTCGTTGGAATGTCCCGGGAACCGAGGCAGTACTGACATCACCTTGTCTAACAGACACTCCATGGAATGGCTGGTTACACCACACAGGTCTAATGTGCGGTCAATTATTAGGAGAGATACAGGATTTGTACAGTTCTGTAAATATTATTAAATTTAATTTAAAAATTTTCATTGGTGTAAATAAAAAAAATTTCCTATGGCCTAATATCCCTAACTTAGGGTAGGCTCCGAGCTCCCCGGTGGGGACATATAGTGAGCTGATGATGATGACGATGAAATTAAAAAAAAATACAAAAATATCTGCCTGTATTCTCTAATATTGCTAAGTTTATCTTTGAGAATATGAATACCCCAATAAAAAATTATCTAATAATCTGTACTTATTAAAGAAATTTTATAAAACAAGCCATGGACAAACTCACTTTTTACCGACTTCAAGAAGGAGGAGGCTCTCAATTTGTCTATGTTTTTTTATTTGCACATGCAACTTCAAAAGATTTAAACATACCACAATGCTTTCTAAACAATGTTATACACACCTTTCTCCTTGCAAGACATACTGGAGAATTTTCCAACACCCCCGCCACTAAAGAACTGTATACACCCATATAAAATACATCTTCTTTAAGATTCATTGATTCAAACATACTATTCAAACCACTAGCAAGTCTCCTCACTTGAGACCTTTCTTCACTATTCAGTGTATATAAGTCTATAGAATTGGATTCAGGTATTAAATTACCATTAAATGATGGATATATCTTCTGATACGGTGGTGTGAGGAATACAGCGTTTGTGGGACAGATTGTGAATATTGGAACATGTATTACCTCTGTTGAACATTGCTGAAAATAAAAAGATAGATTCGATTAAAAATAAGCACAAATTATATTACAATTGATTGAAAAATTTAAACAATTTATCAAAAATCAATCTATAATAAAAGGTTACCTTTTTCCCCATCCATTCCACAAGCATACCTTCCAGTTGCTTTGTGGCTTCACTGAATGCTTTACCAGCTGAGACAATGTCAGTGACATCCTTGCCCTCATTTAGCTCCAAGTACACCACATCAAGGCTCATACATGATATCAGAATGCAGTGTACAAAGTCACTGTTACGTATAATCTCACGAATTGTTTGCAACTGTGTTGAAGTTGATTGAGTTATAAAAACTGCCTTTTTATGTTCTTTTTTAGCACACTGAAACAATAGAAATTAGAAATCGATAAAAGTAAACAATTACTTAAGCTATATATACATAATATGATATAAAACACGAAATAAACCAATTAAAAAGAATGTACCTCAAATGGGGACAAACTTTGCACGGCAACAGCTCCTCCCGTTAAAAGGTTGAACAGTCCGCCATCCCAGTGCAAGCATTCAGCGCTATTATCATCCAAGAATACAACATCACCAATAATTCTGTTGTAAACTTCGTTCCAGCAAGCCCTCCCAAATTCTTTCGGAGAACCCGACATCATTTTGAATGTTTTTTTTACGCAGATTACATGTTTCAAATTGTTTTCATTATTTTTGATTTAGTTATAACAAAGTTATTTATAAGTTAAAATAAATTTTGATGAACCAATAAATAAAAAATGATCAAATACAAGAATGACAGCTGCAAGAAAGCTAACGCTGACAGGTGTCAGACGACAACGAATAAGTACATCTTGTTTCATTACACGCATAATTCCCTTAATACATGAAAAGTGACACGTTTAGCTGATAAGATATATTTTTATACACCCAAACACACCAAACCCTAATATCTAAATCCTACAAAAAGATAAGCAATGCGTCAATAATGGAATGGATGTTTTGATGGAATTGGTCATGTTAGTGAAACCCCTTTGCCTGAAAGTAGTTGGAATATTTTGCTGCCCTCTCCATTCTGAGAAATTCTAATCTCCATTTTTTGGTTTGTACCTATCAATAAATTGATTTGCAAACTTAAAATTCAACTGACTAGGGTGACGCAGCAGCCAGAAGTGGGCCCTTCCGACAATAAAAATCAACAAATTATGAATACTTTTCTCTGATTTCGTCTTGGGGGCTTTGTTGGGTATAGTATAGGACAAACCGGGATTATGTAAAAGTATGTAGGATATTACCACTAAGTAGTTTTTAAGTACAAGAACTCATTGGGCCTATTGACAAAATTCTAGATAAAATGAAACTCTGTAAAAGGTATTTTATTAGTTTTATAATATCTTACAATACACAATTTTGTAACCTACACGCAAAACTGACACAAATTGAAACAGCAAATAAATTGTCTAACATTAAAGCTGTGAACAGTAAAATTTAGTGCTCATCCTCATAACCAGTGGGTAGGGCGTTGACATGAGGGTTGTGGAACAGGGTCTTCTGGCCATCACCCCATGGGAATCTCTGAAAAAAAATTAAACAAAGTTAATGGCAAATGCTTTGCAAACAGTGGGCAGCATGTCTGAATCAATGGGTGCTTCTGCATTGCAGTGAAATGACTTATAATGAACAGTTTGATTCTAATTATATGTGCACCTCTCTGATTTAAATAGTTGTTTATTTTGTATGTGCAATTTTTACAAAATAACAAAATATTTTTAGAGAAATATCCATCTGCAGAGTTTTTTTTTTCAGATTTTGTACTAAAATATAGATAGGTGAAAGAGAATCTGTTTTGAAACTACAATTTTTCGCCTCAAGCACACTCAGTCTTTTTTTCAAATAATATGATTGATGATTTTTTTTGTTTGTCTTTTCAAATTCTCTTACCTTGGTGCGGACGCGCATGTAATCGTAGGGAATGAATGGTGGGCGCTCGTGATGTTCCTCTTGGTGAGCTAAGTAAGCATTGAGCATACCAAGACCTACAGCTGGGAATGCCACGAAGAAAGTCAACTTCTTCCACAGCTTATAACCACCTAAATAAAGATTTTACGTGTAAAAATGGCTTTGATTTAAACAAAATGACAAGTTAAACTGATAAGTATTGAAAAGGGTTATGATTACATAATTTACAGATTTTATATATTGGAAAACTTACCACCATGTCCTCCGGCTGTAGCAGAGTGTGATACAGCACGTGCTTGATTTTGAAGGTACAAAGTTGCGGCTCTCTGTAGAATTGAAGCCATTTTGCGTGTTTTTACAAGTCGAAAAACCCACTGAAACTGAATTTATGAGAAATATACTTGTCAAACGTCAAAGTTGCCAAAAATGTTATCGATTTAAATGCTGCCAGGTACATACGGTACGGAAAAATAGTGGAGAAGCTTAGTTTCATGTTATTGATATTTAAGTAATGCTTTTGGTTAGTTCAATTAAAATTTATATATAGAGATTTTAATGTCCAAAATAATTTGCGATATTTTTTGTGCTCTGTTACTTTTTTTTTTTACAAATAGACCTGTGTTGGCAATCGAGCTATTTTGTAAAGCCATTGTCGTGCGGTAGATGTCGCTGAAACAAGATATAGGAATATTTTTGGGCCCCAACTATTCTAGATTCCGATGTTTTGACCCAAAAAGGGTTGTGGTGTATGAAAGAAAACTACATTACTATGTTGACATTATATTTCTCTTTTTTACACATGGAATGTTTAAAGATTCTAGAGGTTTTGCCTTTTAGAATATAAATGCATCATCTTTACTCTATAGTAATGTCTAATAATGATTCACAAGTACAGATCGGTTCGATACTTTGGCTGGTACGAGAATCATTAACTTGTTATCCTTAACTAGTACGAAGATGTCTTTATTATCTACATTTTTATTACTTATAATTCCAATACAAAGCATAATCTATAAAATTTATAAAATTTGAATATCTGTATGTATTACTGAAAAGATGTTTTTCGCTACTTATAGCGAAAAACCAATTTATTAAATTTTAATGTGTCAAATGAACAGATTTATATAGGACTTAATGGATGAAGTGACTTAGGCGACCTCTAGTATGTGATAAAACTATACTACTAACAAGAATGGTATACAAGTAATATGGTATTGTGCTACACGGCCATATTATATTGATCAAATGATGGGAAGTGATGAGTAGAGTTGATAATGCCATCTTCTAAGTTTTTATCTGGAGGAAAATGTTTTTCAAGTATTGATCTCGGTGAAACCTGAAACAAAAGGTACACAAATAAATATCCCCTCATCTTTTATTATATTTATTAGGATGGGAAGTGGATTTGCCGGATGAGAGGATGCATGGGAAGGAAAAATTTTATCTTTCTGTGTATCCTCTTCTCCGTCTGCAATTGCGGATGTCTATGGGCAACTGTCGCTCCGCTATTTCATCGATTTCAGGTGGCTGTTCTGTTTAACACCTTATGATATAAAAAAAAAACTAAAAACTTTTACCATCTCTCATTAACAATTTTTTAAAGAATCTTGCCATTTCATATTTTACTAATGAACTTCTAATTGTTATGAGTACATTTAGTTTTGTTATCGTTTAAAAGATATTTAAGTTATTTAAATTTTCGTAATCTGTTTTCAAGAAAAATGTACCATTTTTATCTCCATCCTGGATGAACAAAAAACGGTAATAACTACCTGTAGCGATAAATTTCTATGAATCAGCCAAGTATTTAAACTCTCATTAGCATAAATGGATGCAGAGGAACGACGTAATAGTTGTCCGTTTTATCAGACATCTTAAATTGAAAAAAAATAAGGAGGTTTCCAAAATGAGTACCTATGTCATCGAATAAAACCATAAAGTACAAGCCATGTATTTATAAACGTCTGTTTTCACTACAAAATCAAACTAAACTGAGCCCTACATAAAAACTTGCAACATTATGTTGTAAGGTGGACCTATTCAGGGACGTACTTTTAGCCAACTTGAAAACGGAGATTATCAATTCGTCTGTGTTTTTTATCTATTCCAAATTCAAAAACTGCGGTAAAATGAAACAATTTTTTTTATTTCAGATCATTCGAGTCTAATGGAGATTAGTTAATAATTTTGAACACAATTAGAACTAGAGATGTAATAACCCGAACGAGTTAATGACCTTAGTTATAAGTTCAGGTTCAATGAGATCACATCAAAGATATTTTACGCGCGTGTGCACGCACCTCGTTTATTTTTAAATACATCACTAACAGATTTTTTATTTGTATAAGATGCAAGTCGCGTCCACTGTGACAGTGGCCGACGCCGACCGCAACGCTCTGGACGAATGCTAAGTAACATGACATGACAACAGTGGGTATACTACGAGTAGGGACCCGTAGGAATATAATTAATTAAAATAGATCGGTATAGAACATGTTCAAAAGGCTGCAAACGAGTCACTTAAGGAAATGGATAAACGTAATGTATTTCACAACATCGAAATATCCCAATTTATGAACGTTTTCTTTTGCCATTTGTGGATTTTTTGATAATTCAATGAATGCAAAAATAAATTAATCTACTCGAAAACAAGCTAATAAACAAATTGAAACAGAAAATTAACAAGTTTTTAGTTCGAAATCACCATTCCGTAGGAAACGAGACGCTTTGTAGCATAAGAAAACATTCAATATCTTACATATAGTATGATCATAAAACATATCACGTTGTTTTCTACCTTCACAAATTGCTTACGGGACCCTAACAAAAATTTCCATTAAAAAAATAAACCAAGACGAACGTGCGCTCGATTTCTGATCGCTTACCTTTTTAGCATTAACGTGTTCGAAATTGTAGCTCATGTAGAATGCCGACTGTTGCAGCTGCCGCAAACTGCGCAAGCGCACCCTGGGGTCCCTTTCCAGTAGTCGCATGAGCAAACCTCGAGATGCAGTAGACAAAGTAGCAGCGCTAACTGGCAGAGTGCCTGGGACTCCTTCTTTATAGCTGTTTTGATCTTCTCTCGGACTATCAACAAATAATAATTAATTGTATGGTAACTACTCTTATAGCTGACTACACGCCTTTCAAGCAATGCGACAGGCGTCGGCCCAAAAGCAGTATAGAGTTTTAGCACCGCTTTAATACTTTGGTCCGTGTATGGCGATCCTAAACTGCTGATCTGACCACATGAACTGTCGATACTCATTGCTAGACACAGTCCTTGTATGTAAGCCCTGTGTCAAAAATATTACCTCATAGATTTGTTTGTATGGACATCAGCAGACCTGTCGACTTCGTCTCTTTGTTCTGCTGAATTTGTGTTCATCGCAGGCGTTGGATACTGGAAATAAATGCCATTAATTAAACAAGTAAAACCTAAGGTTATTCGAAAGCTTTTTAAAATAATCAATATTTATAAATTTACTGGCTGTCGACCGTACCTGCGTCCGCGCGAAATTAAAAAAAATAATAATAGCCTATGTATTCTTCCAGACTATGCTCTATATCTATACCAAATTTCACCGATATCCATTTAGCCGTTCTGAAGATACCTTCCAAAATACATTCATCCATCCATCTACACATTCGCATTTATAATATTAGTAAGTAGTAAGATGGGTAAGCATTACTTTTGCAGCTTAAATGATTATTCTTCATTAAATAAAGAGGTTAACAAAAAGCGTATTACAATATAACATAGTTAAAAATTTGCTTTTTCACTTAATTTATTAAAGGGACAAAAATAAGAGTATAAATGCATAATAAAATTGCATCAAGTCTACGTAATGGTCAAAGGATGTACGCATAAACAGTTGAAGTAAGATTCAACAGAGTTCAATTTATAATAGGCCATCGTAATCCTTGTATTATGCGCACTTATTTTAAATAAGCTCCCATTAAGAACAGATAAGTTGCTTCCAATTATATGCTAGTAAAAATAGCTTTTACGACATAGTCTTAATAAGGTGTGGTAGACACAATGTAACTTCTAAGAATCCTGTTTTGTCCATAGCGTATTACCACCGACCACCTTGCACCATCTTGTCAACTTTACTTCAATAAAATTACTCAAAAGTTAACAAAAACACTTTTTTACAGATGTGGTATATTAAAAAGCATTTACGTGGTTTAGCTAAAAAATAACATTTTTCTGGTTTTTTCATAATTCATCCTCCAAGGAGACGAAGGCTGGCTCAGCTATTTACTAATATAATAACAAATATTTATTACATGAATACTGGGAGATGCAAAAAGATGGCAACCCTAAAGTAGTCAGCACAACCCGTTCGCCGGACCCGTTGTATGGAAAAAAGTCCACCTTCACTCGACCGTCTAAAAATAGGGAGTCCAGCGCCTTAATTGCACACTTGGAATTTACAGCACGTTTTAACGATTGTTAGTACATCGAGATAAATGCACCTCGAGGGCGGGGTAATGGTGCAAAGATTGTGTCGCTGTTACTATTGCATATTAAAATAGTGCGACTTTTTAAAACGGTAAGTCCGGTCTAGCACTGGCAAGTTTTCTTTGTGAATTTTAAAATAGACGTTTGAATTAGGAACGTCTGCAATGGTAAATTCTATTTTTATAGTTCAAACAGAATTAAAAAAAACGTAATAAGCCTATTTGTTCTTGCAGGCTACTTTCTACATCTACGCTAGATTTCAGCGAGATCCATGCAGCTATTCTAGAGGTAGCTTACTATATCCACATCCAACAAACATCCATCCATCCAAACATTTGCATTTTTAATATTAATAATATAAGACACCAATATAAGATGTCCTTTTCTATCGTTAATAAATTACTTATATTTTTACAGTTAATTATCGTTTCATTTACTTTAAAGAGGTTGTAATTTACAAGTAAAATCTATACTTAGAATGAATAAAGAAATGAATCCTTTCTACAGAAGTTCTTTATACGAGTACAAACGTACGATTCATATGCACGTTTGATTTGAAATGCTTTGTTACGACGAGGGTACGGGGAATCGATAAAATGTTAATTTTATATGATTTTCGCTGACTACTTGAGTTAACATGGGATGTTAGGCTTCCAGACTCTGGCATTCGTTCCATAAATTAACTACACACCGTTAGAATCGGTGCATTGACTACTGATTAATATTTGTCTATATATATCAATGTTTGTATGTTTGTGCTGTGTTTCAGAACTACTCAACCAACTTTGATTAAACTTTCGTGGAAAAAAGTCAAAATGTTTTTCGTTTTTAATAAAAATTGTTATACTTTTAAATAATATTGTCTTATTATTTGACTTTGAAAGCATACCATAGCTAGTCTTACTAATATTATAAATCCGAAGGTTTAGATAGACGGATGAAATTATATATTTTCTTAATTCCGCAAGTACAAAGTCGAGGGCGACCGCTAGTATATTTATAAAAAAATGTTTAACGTTTTAAACTGATGATTAAAGTTTGCACCATGCCAGATATTATTTTGACAATGTTTAAGATTGTTTTTGTTTTTGCAACGCATGCCGGGTCCAGTTAGTTAGTTGCAAAGTGATTGAGTTTGTACGCTATATGTTTATATTATGACCTAGTCACGATTCGACCGCATTAGCGAACAAGTGACTTCCAAAGCATGATTTAAATTAATTCTGCTACCTGACGCACTGAATTACTTTAAATCCTTCCTTCCATTGTCTTTAAATGTTACTATGTAAGGTCGTTTTACTTCAGATATTATGGAAAAGTTCCTGATTCTTTTAATACCATTCGATTGAGACAGTAGGAATAAATTTTCAGATTAATAAGGAATGATCGTCGTTTATTTAAAAGAGATTATTGTCAAAAGAAAATCATCAAAAAGTTTTCTGTGCTATATTTTGTTTAGTGACCACAAAACTACATCAAGCCTACGCTATTTCTTTAGTATAAAAAATTTTAGATGGATCAGTTACGATATTTTATATTACATTTGCTGATAAAAATTACGATGCGTTGAACAAATGTATCATTAAACTTAATCACTGGTGTAAAGTCTGAAGAATAAAGAGCTTCGTATTCGCGAAACGATAACGAGCAGGCTATTAATTCTCAGTATTGCATGATTCACTCGTAAGAACGCTAAAGGTCCTGCAATTGATTTTATTGAAGCCAGTATTATACTTATTTTGTAATTTAACTTTTTTACGAAGGCCACGCCGTAGCTTTAACCGCTCGGGTTCATTCGTCGCGAAGCTCGCCGCATTCTATATAGGGTTGCTATTTTATTGCTGTAATATTATTTTGGTTTTTTTTTTCAGTTATTATTACTGGCAATCTTTGTTGCTTCAATGGGCATACGCAATATCGTTAAAGGAGGATGAATTTTCAAATCAACTTGAAATAGGTTACTCATGTTTCATCGTGAAAGTGGTTGACAGTGGTAGAGCTAGCAATAACATCTTTTGCACGATTGTATCGGCTCTTCAGATGAAATACCACACAGAAGACAGACGTGAAGCGGACAATTCCAAGTTTAGTCTGGTTCACAAGATAAGCACCTTTCCCACCCTTGCCACCCTTTTTGTATAAGGAAAAAATTAGAAAAGTATACATTATACTGCACTGTCTCTGTACAAATATATTAAGTATCAACCCTGAGAAGTGAGATATCTCATGACGGGTAGCGAGTCGATCATTCAACTTTGAAACTCATTTATATATATTTCTCGAGATTGGTTCAGTCATTAAGCTTGGCTGTACAGTGTACATATAATCTTTAACTTGCATTTCAGCAAAATAAGCTAATGATCGAACTTTTTTTAGATACAACTCTACATTTTTTTCATGATACAATGTAATTATTGGTATTGTGTTATTTAGGTAGTAATTCAGCCTAATTTATAAGATTACAGCTAGAATGATATTTGTATTACATTAGGTGTTTTTATATATTAATATTACAGAAAACAGGTTATTTTTTTTTTACATTTTACATAGAGTAAACAAATTTTAGATCGAAAACATTTTTTGCTGTTCAATCCTAAATAAGGTGATTTTTTTATGCCATAAACAAGCAAGGTGGCAGAATTTTTACAGGTCATTGCAAGAAATAAATTACTCTTTGGAAGATTTATTATCTGGATCGTTATCATCGATATTTTTAAGTAACGTTAATCATTTAGGAATTCGTGTTACATTTTGTACATGAATAAATTTCTGCAAAAAAGGAATTCTTTCTGTTTGTGATCATAAACCTGATAGGGCGATGTAATTCAAAGCGACAGCATCGTATTAAATCTGCCAATACAACATTAATTCTTAGAAGCACCCCTAGATGAAGGTAAATTACAGTAGAACGTTGACGGCCAGTCGATTCACTGATGCGAACAGACTTCGTTACCATAAACTGGATTCAGAGGACCCTGACAAGGCCATTTACCTGCCTTCGACGCAATAATTCATTAACGCTGTATTATAGATGCAAACTTTTTTAAAAAGAAGGCAACGAGCTTACACACTGCTCCGAACGAGTTCTAACTAAAGTAATTAAAGTAGCCATTTGTGTTTTTATTTTTTACATAAAGGCATAGGCATGTATATGCTTTTTTTGTAGAACATATGTGTGTAGGTGTCAGGCAGAAAGATTACTTCGTAGACGAATGATCCTAGGCTATACATAAATGTTTTTCACTTAGGTTATAAAAGCGATAAGATTTTGCCCCTTTCATATAAATAGCTTCGGTCCGACGAATGGATAGATAGCAGAAAAATTGTAACGCAAGTTACTCGTAAATAGATAAGATTTCTTTTGAAAATTCTTTGCTTTTCTTTATGAGTTTAGAAAAAAATTAACAGTCAAATAATTTTAATTTTGTTTAGTAAAAGCATAATAGATATATACCGACCAGTATTCATCATAAAATGTTTTCAATTTAAAATTAATGAACTTGAAGGTCTTTCTCATGGTCTTTTGTTTAATTATGCAGTATAAAATTAAATATTGTAGAAATATCTTTTGACGAATGGTATTTTGTTATCAAGACCTAACGAAGTCTATCAATAAAAGTACGTCAAATATAGTGGTATGTATGTCGCAAGCATCAACATACGGCGATACCTAATTAAACGTCTATTTAACTGACGATGGTTGCGCATGTCATTGTGTGACACTCATTATTTTATTTTTTAAACTAAGTTTACCATCATGAATTGTAAAAGTAGACAAATATTATGCAAAAAAATAAACTAAAATTAAACGATTAACATTCACGCAATTTATGCGGTAGAGTTAGCAATTTATTTTTAGTTCGTAATGTCTTATGTTAAATAATTTAATCGAAAGAAATACTTCATATTATTACAATCTCCTTTAGATATGTTAC